CGTATTAAGGTTTATTTTAGCTAAAATAACGACTCAACAAATAGCTCGTAGCACGCGTTTACACAAACGCGAAATACGTTTACGCTAATCTGTATCGACTGCGGTACGGAATAAGGTCTAGTTTTTGATAGCGATATTTTAAGATGAAAATCCAACTAAAAATTAGAAATCATGACAAGGACTGTGGAATAAAAGGGTTTGAAATTTAAAAAAAAAGTGCTAAAAGCTAATAAGAAGCCGTTATTTTAGCTAATTACAACACTATGGCAAATAGCACGGAACCTAAACAGTATTCAGTCTATCGTTAACAATACATAGCAAATAGAATTTCAAAAGTCTGAAAATTTATACATAGGTTATATAATGTTCATCTTAGATATTATATACATATATAGTTCAATGTATTTTATTTTAGGCATACAATAAATTTTGTTAGCATGCGTGAGTTATTGTTGACTGCTATCTTCGATAATTGAAGACACTCAAAACGGGTTAAGTCAAAAATTTGAATTTGACAAATCGTTATTACCTAGGATATGCAGTTCTCACATTCGATAATACCGGTAATTTATACATTAATCATATTATTATATTATAATATATTAAATGTTCCAACATTTACACACTCAAGAGGTAATTATTAAAGAATGTTTTATCTTATCGTTCATGCATGATATAAACAATTTCAGTTTTCATTCATTATTTGGATGAGGGTAGTAACATAAAATATGTGAAATTTCATTAAAAACAAATGTCGATAATAGTCGATATTTCGACTCTTTATATGTGGAATATTTACGATATGTGATTTTTCATAACTAAATTATGATATAGCTACAATTTTAGATAACATCGCTTATTTGGGTGAGGGCAATATTACAAAAAATATGAGATTTCGTTCATTCAACAAATGTCATGATTTTACTTGACGGCGCGTCATTTCATAGGCGCGCCGTGAGCCTACATCTTTCTTTTTTGTTTCTTATCTGGGTGAACGAGCAAACCTGATGTTAAGCAACAACAAAACGATATCGGTGGATTTGGTTTAAGTGACATTTCGCTTAATATAACACATTTATCTTTATAATTAAAAGATGCGTTTTGCATTGGTATTAGCAGCATCAAAAGTTCGATGTTTTTAATTGAACTTCAATTAAGTATACTCCATTCAGATAACTAAAGAAGTTTTTCCGTTATTATATTTTATCAAAACTTTTTTTTATTTTTTATTGCCCTTGTAGGCAGTCGAGCATACGGCCCACCTGATGGTGAGTGGTTACCGTCGCCCATGGACTTCAGCAATGCCAGGGACAGAGCCAAGTCGCTGCCTACCACTTAATACTCTCCACAAGCCTCGTTTGAAGAAGAACATGTCATAGCGCTCGGGAAACACCGTGGAGGGGAGCTTATTCCATAGCCGGATGGTACATGGCAAAAAAGATCTCTGGAAACGCACTGTCGATGACCGCAGTGGCTCCAGGTAGTATGGATGAACTCTACTCCGGTGGCGGGCGGTGCGATGGTAAAAACGTGATGCCGGTATCATCTCGAACAATTCCTCAGAGCACTCCCCATGGAACATACGGTACAAAATACAGAGGGAACCGAAGTCCCTCCGCACACCCAGAGGTTTTTTATTTGAAATGTCTCGCCTTTGTATGATAGTTTAATAAATGTATATTTGTTATTTGATTAGTTTTGGTAATTTTAATTATGTTTCGACGATACTATGTACACATATGGACTTGTTCTGGTCTGAAATAAAATAAATCATTCACTCATTCATTTTGAAGTTGCAAAAATGACGCTTAAACAAAAGAGCCCTTCTAGCCTCGATATTACATAGTCAAAGAAAGGCCGAAATTGATAATTTCATTCAAAAGATCTTTAGTTCGGAATAACGATAGGCTTTTTTCTCACTAACGTAAACGGAAAACTATTAACATTTTTTTTATTACTTAAATTGGGGAACGAGCTCACAGCCCACCTGGTTGTTAAGTGGTTACTGAAGCCCATAGACATCTACAGCGTAAATGCGCCACCCGTCTTGAGATATAAATTCTGAGGTCTTAATATAGTTACAACGACTGCCTCACCCTTCAAACCGAAACGCATTACTGCTTCACGACAGAAATAAGCAGAGTGGTAGTACCTACCCGTGCGGACGCACAAGAGATCCTACCACCAGTAATTTTACATTATAATTACATTTACATTACAATTACATGTACAGCGTGTGTTAAGACTATATTAACTCTAGTAAAAACGAAGATTAGTGATAGATCCCGAAAATGATTTGCACGCAATGTATCACAATTAAAAATCCACTGACGTGCGAGGTCAACGACCGCGAGAGCGAACGCCTTAATTACGGATGACTATTCATTTCATTATTTATTTAATTTAAGAGCGAGTAGGTTGTATTATAGTATACATTAACATTACCAAATTTTATTTCATATATCCCGAAAATGATTTGCACGCAATGTATCACAATTAAAAATCCACTGACGTGCGGGGTCAAAGACCGCGAGAGCGAACCCCTTCATTACGGATTACTATTCGTTTCATTATTTATTTAATTTAAGATTATTATCATACGCGAGTGGATTGTATTGTAGTATACATTAACATGACCAAATTTTATTTGTGATACATTGCGTGATAGCAACGTTCATGTTAATTAAAACTGTCTATTAAAATAAATTAAAACATTGAAAACAACAGAGCTCAGGTTTTATATATGAAATAATTCTTAATAATTTTACGAATGATTCAATAAGTTTTATTTGGATTGTTGTTTGTTAATAAGATATTTGGTATTTGGATATACATCCGCTTAATCCTGTTTGCGGTTCACCGTCGTTACGTTTTTTTTTGTGTTTTTTTTTTTTGTATCTGAACGATATGAGTCATTTATCGGATTCACTATGTAAGTTCCAAAGTTGTCGTTTTTCGGTAGACGAGCTATAGATCTGTCTGACACCAGTTTATAATAGTCATACATAGATGGACCTGGTAACTAAGACCTTTAAGTCTTATTTTAATTTATATTCTTATTTTTAAGAACAATGGAATTACGGTGTGAAATGAAATGAAGATGATTAATTTGAGACATTAATCAGGTGAGATGAAATTAAATGAGATGATATGAGATGAAATATAATCTCAGTAAAATGGTGGTCATTTACTAAGATCTTTTCAGTGGACTTTTTGGAGGATCACGAGAAGTTACGTCCAGCGGCTTTGTTTCTTTTTCCCACATTTGTGCACTTTCACAGATATTAAACAGTTAATAAACCACCGTTATTACACATTTAAACCTGAAGAAACACTAAATAGACAAAATAAAACAAATCACACAACTTCACTCCTCGGGTTCCCGCCAAAAAGTCCATAGATGATTGATGTATTATTTTTTTTCGAATACCCTACTTTTACCTATAGCCCTGTATATTTTCGTACATTAGCTGAAATTTATTATTTTTCGGAACATAATTTTTTTTATTGCCCTTGTAGGCAGACGGAGCATACGGCCCACCTGATGGTGAGTGGTTACCGTCGCACGTGGACTTCAGCAATGCCAGGGGCAGAGCCAAGCCGCTGCCTACCAAAAATCTGTATGACTGGAGAGTAAACGCCTGACGCGTCCGTATTGCACTTTTTTCAAGGATAATACTTTGATCGTGGTATGAAAAGGGAATTCGCCACAATTCTAAATTACCGTCCTGTTGTTAGGCAAGCCTTCCAGTTTCGACGGTAGGTCTGCCGCTGTTGAAATTTCAACAATAAAAGTTTTTTTTTTGTTTTTTTACTGTATCTATATATCAATACGTGAAGCAAAAAATTTGTATCCCTTTTTACGAAAATTGCGCGGACGGAGGAGTACGAAATTTCTCACAATTATAGAGAATACAGTGAAGGAGTGCAGAATGCTAATTTTTTTTTTAAATTATGCATTAATAATACATTAAATCAATAAAAAAACATTACAAACACTACCATGTATTTGACACACACACACACACACACATATTTATACTCTATGTTTATTGTCAAACTTTTGTTATTGCATACAGTCTGTGGTCAAATTGAAAATAGGTTAATATTGTTTATCTTTAATATTATTTGTCTACAGTGTAGTCTTGGCGAGATCTGTGATTAAAGAAGTATAATAGTTTTTGACAATAGAACCATAATAATGTTCAAACTTATAATTTCAATTAATTATAGTCAAATGTCGACTACTGCGGGATCACTAGTCATTTTAAAATGACGTATTCATTCATTAAATCAGAAGCGAATTGAATTGTGTGAACAGTAAATAAATGCGATTCCTTTACACACATTGAAGCAATGATAAATATGTTTTTTTTTTTCGTAGAATCGATTTGTACACGTAACATTCATGATAATCAACATTTTCCTATTATGTGGGTAGCCATTTACGTAATAACTTATGCTAGATGTACATAGCAATATGAATGTATACAGGAAAATAATGGTTCATTTATGTTTGTGCATATTACCCAATTTTAAACATGGCCTACTAAACGAATGATAATTGATGAATGTTTTTATTTTTGTTTTTATATGGTCATTTCACGTCACAGATCGATGCCTCCAATGAACACTACGCTAACTCCAAATTCGTAGGTTTACAGGAGGAGCGTTTAAACGAAAAAATAAAAACTTTAGAGGTGTCAAGGGACACCCGGATGGAACGAAGTTCCTTTCGATTAATTAGTGAAGGAATTGTAATTTTTTTTTTAAGTTATAATAATAAATTACGGCATTATGAAGGAAAAAAAAAACAATACTATGAACTAAATTACTATTGTTGAAACGCTATCTCGAGAAACTGTACTCATTACGCGGACCAATCGGGTACGAGCAATGTCACGCGATAAGCGCCTACACGTTGATTGGTCAGAATGACGGATCTAAAAAGTGTCGTGACAACTTTTCGTAAGAATTTTTTCCGTCTAGCCAACTTTCACAACGCGCGATAAGGAACTTCGTTCCAAAAGTTGATAAAACCTTTATTATTGCAGATACATTTATGGTTTTTCTTGTGTAACCAGCTGATTTACTCTTGCTTCGAACCCCATCAATAATGATTAATTGTAATACTTTTAAAATAGTGAAGCGATTTGCGTGAAAAACGAAAATTTCAAAATTTTGAGTTATAGTAGTGTTCATTGGAGGCATCGAGATGACGAATGTCGTGAAGCATCCGACATAACGGAATGTGTAAAACGATATCTTGATATCGGAATCGTAATTTGTAAAAAGACTTTTTTTTTTGGAAATTTCTTTTTAACATGCGTTTTTGTGTCTGTATGTGTGTGTATGTAGTATGTACATGTATTAATAAACTCGGATCCTCCATACGCTTTCCATTGCGTGTTAAAAAAATAACAGAACAACTGTTTTTATATTAGGAGTAAGATTTATCATCCTGCCTATTTTTGGCCGCAGCAGTAATGCTCTCCAGTTTCTAAGATGGGAAACCATTTACACGATAAACGACCTTATGTCCTCAGTAATGCGAGTCTTCAATGAACCTAGTTTCCCGTTTACGTGAGGATAATACATTATTTAAATAACATAGATTTACCGCACAATTTTCAACCTTATAACAAGTAGGATAAGAACGTTTCAAGTTCTGAATAGACTTTCGATATTGATCGTACTGCCATTGCTATTTTTAACACCAATCAAAATTCGAACTTATTTCTCTACATATTTAAGTTGTAATCATATTAACGTATTGATCCATTCAATGCTCTGTGTTAGAGCACTGCATGCACATTAATGTTTCGCAAAATATAGCAGTCAAATTTCTACCTTATCGCGTATGCGTTTAAAGTATCATTTCCTTTGTCTGTTTTCGTGTTTAGCGTATTTTCGGTGCTGATCTGTCGTTGCAGTGCTTGTTCCGACGCAGGGTCGCTCCTCGTTTGATCTGCTCCATCAGAGACGTGTGGCACACCCTCGGATCGGGCTGAAACAAGAACACATAATATATCTACCAATAAAAATACTATGCCGGTACGAGTAACCCCATCTGTTGTCAAATAACAAAAAAACGAATATTTTTGTATCCTCGTGGCCTAAAGGATAAGACATCCGGTGCATTCGTATGTAGCGATGCACCGGTGTTTGAATCCCGCAGGCGGGTACCAATTTTTCTAATGAAATACGTACTCAACAAATGTTCACGATTGACTTCAACCGTGAAGGAATAACATCGTGTAATGAAAATAAAACCCGCAAAAATTATAATTTGCGTAATTGCTGGTGGTAGGACCTTGCGTGAGTCCGCACGGGTAGGTACCACCACCCCGCCTGTTTCTGTCGTGAAGCAGTAATGCGTTTCGGTTTGAAGGGTGGGGCAGCCGTTGTAACTATACTTGAGACCTTAGAACTTATATCTCAAGGTGGGTAGCGCATTTACGTTGTAGATGTTTATGGGCTCCAGTAACCACTAAACACCAGGTGGGCTGTGAGCTCGTCCACCCATCTAAGCAATAATAAAATAATAAAAATTTAATTATGCTTTAATTATTTTGAGACCCAGATAAAGATCTGGGTCTAAAGAGTCCCATTTAAAAATTATAAGCGTGAGCGTAATTTATTTTCAAAAAAAATACAAGTTTCCGTTTTTATCTTGGTGGTTCTTATAGTCGGTGATAATTATTCCAATATCGTCGCTTATTCGACCTATATATGACCCGGCGTCCTATTGCATACTCCGTGACTCGACATTTCCGATGTTCATCCAATTAACCACAACATATTTTATTCAAGTTGATAACGTTTTTAACTGCGTTCCAAGACCGCAAAGGCTTTTAAAATTTCGTTTTATTGCTAATCTTATCTTATACCTTTAAACGAGCAATTCTTATATATATATATATATATAACTAGTCAGGTCATAAGTATTGTCACACAGTAAAAACTTTTCTTTTAGAATGCTGGCAACAAAAAAGTTTATTGAATTCGAATTTCGAATTGTTCATGAAAATAAAAATGTATACTTTTAGAATTTTACTCATTTTTAAATATGGAGTGGACGTTTAAAGAAGACCGTGTTGCAGTTATTGTGTTGCATCGTTGCGGTTACGCGCCAATTCAAATTTTTAACATACTGAAAAATTTGAATATAACCAAAAGATTCGTTTATCGTACCATCAAACGATACAATGAAGACTCTAGTGTAGATGACAGGTCAAGAAGTGGTCGCCCTCGGTCTGTTAGGACTCCAGCAGTGATAAAAGCTGTGAAGGCGCGAATTCAAAGAAATCCCAAACGTAAGCAGAAACTGTTGGCCCTTCAGATGGGGTTAAGCAGAACCACGGTGAAAAGGGTGTTAAATGAAGACTTAGGGCTTCGGGCATATCGAAGAAAAACAGGACATCGTTTGAATGCTCGTCTAATGGACCTGAGACTGAAGAGATGCCGCGCTTTGTTGAAGCGGTACGCGGGAAAAAAATATCGGGAAATTCTTTTTTCGGATGAAAAAATTTTTACCGTAGAAGAGAGCTACAACAAACAAAATGATAAGGTGTACGCACACAGTAGTGAAGAAGCGAGCAACCGTATTCCGCGTGTCCAACGAGGTCATTTTCCATCCTCGCTCATGGTATGGTTGGGAGTTTCTTATTGGGGCTTAACAGAGGTACATTTTTGTGAGAAAGGTGTAAAAACGAATGCAGTTGTGTATCAAAATACAGTCCTGACGAACCTTGTGGAACCTGTTTCTCATACCATGTTCAATAACAGGCACTGGGTATTCCAACAAGATTCGGCGCCAGCTCATAGAGCGAAGAGCACACAAGACTGGCTGGCGGCGCGTGAAATCGACTTCATCCGGCACGAAGACTGGCCCTCCTCCAGTCCAGATTTGAATCCGTTAGATTACAAGATATGGCAACACTTGGAGGAAAAGGCGTGCTCAAAGCCTCATCCCAATTTGGAGTCACTCAAGACATCCTTGATTAAGGCAGCCGCCGATATTGACATGGACCTCGTTCGTGCTGCGATAGACGACTGGCCGCGCAGATTGAAGGCCTGTATTCAAAATCACGGAGGTCATTTTGAATAAACTTTAGTGTCATAAGAATCTATGTTTTGTTAAGTTCATTTTGGTATATGAATGGTTACATAATGAATAAACTTGTTTCAATTATTTTACATTAAACATGTGACAGAATTTATGACCTGACTAGGTATATATAATCTGAATCTCAGAAACGGCTCCAACGATTTTCATAAAATTTAGTATACAGGGGATTTCGGGGGCGATAAATCGATCTAGCTACGATTTATTTTCAGAAAATGTTGTTTTATTCGTGTTTTCAATAATCAACTCTTCCCGACATCTATTGGCGAATAATAATACTATTTTTCTTAATTGAGGGCAACTAACCGCTTTAAAAAACACAACAAAATGGCGTTATCAAAAAAAAACCGAGCTTTGATCATCTAGTTAATTTAATCCCACAAGGTTACTAGTCGCGCTGGGGTATCATCAGGAGCGATCGGAATTCCCGAACCCGAAGGCGTCACCTGACGTCAGCCGACCAGATTCGCGCGCCATTTTAAAGTTTAACATAAAGACAATACCTTCGTAATATTAATATAGTTAGTATCGTCTAGTAGCTGACTTCGTTTTCTCCGTTTCCTGTTTATATTATAACATTGTACACTACAAAAACATTATAAGTGTTTATAAAATACAAGCCGTAAGTACTCGCCCGCTACGCTGGGCATTTAAAATTAACATTATTATTTATTGTCATTATTATTATTAGGGAGTCCAACACTCATATAAATAGCCTTAAATAGCATTAGCCTATCCATTAAGTACATGTATTTTCTACATGGATACCAAGTTTCAAGTCAATCGGATGCATGGTTCAGTAGTTATAACGGAACATCCGTAAAAACCACTGTAGATTTATATATTAGTATAGAAGTATAGATAGACAGTTTTCCGCGAGAAGCAAATAACAAACCACGCAGCAACGGCCTGATCGTGAGCTCATCTATATATGTATACTGATACGGCGTTTGTTCTCCAACAATATTCGTCTCTCACACGATCGTATCAGAGCTGAAGTCGTCGTGGCCTAACTGATTCTGCCTAACGTATTCTCCACTAATCTCGTTTGAAGAAGAACATGTCATAGCTTTCATAAATCTCGAGAAGCGCGCTGTGGATGAACGCAATTTAGATCGAAATCGTCGTGGCCCAAAGGATAAGACGTCCGGTGCATTCGTATGTAGCGATGCACCGGTGTTCGAATCCCGCAGGCGGGTACCAATTCTTCTAATGAAATACGTACTCAACAAATGTTCACGATTGACTTCCACGGTGAAGGAATAACATCGTGTAATAAAAATGATACCCGCTAAATTATAATTTGCGTAATTACTGGTGGTAGGACCTCTTGTGAGTCCGCGCGGGTAGGTACCACCGCCCTGCCTATTTCTGCCGTGAAGTAATAATGCGTTTCGGTTTCAAGGGTGGGGCAGCCGTTGTAACTACACTTGAGACCTTAGATCTTATATCTCAAGGTGGGTGGCGCATTTATGTTGTAGATGTCTATGTGCTCTTAACACCAGCTGGTTTGTGAGCTTGTCCACCCATGTAAGCAGTAAAAAATAATGAAAAACCCGCGGCAACGCTGAGCGCGGAATCAAACAAGATTATCGTACCGTCGGTTTTAAATAACAGAAGCCTAATCTTATAAAAACGAGCGATATGTTCGTTACTAGAACTTGAATCGATTCTATGAAATACGACCGATAACAGTGACGCCGAATTAATTAGAAAAAATATTGTAAAGCTGAAGAGTTTGTTTGTTTGTTTGAACGCGCTTATCTCAGGAAGTACTGGTCCGATTTGAAAAATTATTTCAGTGTTAGATAGCCTATTTATCGAGGAAGGTTATACAACATCACGCTACGACCAATACAAACAGAGCACCAATAAAGAATGTTTCTAAATCGGGGTTTTAATCCCTTTTGAGAGCTTAACCGTAGTTTAGCTAATAAAAAAATTATGGTCGAATTGATAGCTTCCACTTTTGAAGTCGGTTAAAATCATTTTGGTACCTTAAATAGCTCCTTAGCATTCTATTATTTAAAAATATTTTTACTTTCTACGTAAATGAAGAGGCGGGTAAAAATTTAGCGTTATGCCAAAGTAACTATTCCACACGAATAAAGTCGCGGGCAAAAGCTAGTTAATTATAAAATTAAAATGTAATATCAAAATATATACCGCGGAATGGTCTAAGCAATATTTCACGTAATACGCGACATTCATCTTTGTAATTAAAAGTTCGTTTTATTTGGTACTAGCATCAATGGTTCGATGTTTTTAATTCTGAACTTCAATGTTTTTTTTTTTATTGCGTATATGGGGGGACGAGCTCACAGCCCACCTGGTGTTAAGTGGTTATTGGAGCCCATGGACATCTACAACGTAAATGCGCCACCCACCTTGAAATATAAGTTCTAAGGTCTCAAGTATAGTTACAACGGTTGCCCCGCCCTTCAAGCCGAAACGCATTACTGCTTCACGGCAGAAATAGGCAGGGCGGTGGTACCTACCCGCGCGGACTCACAAGAGGTTCTACCACCAGTGAAAATCAATAAAGTTTAATGATATAATATTTAATATTATTTTATTATCATGCAAATAGCTGAAGAGATTTTTTTGTCATAATGTGTATTTTTTCCGAATCATAGATAATACACAAAAACTAGTTATAGATAAGCAACTCAAGTACTCAACAGAAATGTTTACGGACGTTGGACACTAAATGGCTTCGCTTCGATTTTTTTTTATGGATATTAGTTTTATAGATATTTTTTAGATAATAGTTTAAAAAAACTAACAAAATACGCTTTTATAGAAAATCCAACAAAAAAATAAATTTTAATAAATTTAGTAAAAAAAAGCGTGGGGTGCATGGTATCAGCAGATATATATATTTTATGAACAGATATGAATAGAAGGGTTATTTTGATAATATCCTCAAAAGCGCCCCACGCTTTTTTACAATAAAATCATTTTTTCTTAAACTATTTTTGATTAAAAATTTATTAAAATTAATTATTTCTTTTTTATAAAGGTTTATTTTGTTAGTTTTTTTAAACTATTTTTTTTTATTTATTAAGATGGTTGGACGAGCTCACAGCCCACCTGGTTTGCGGTAAAATAATTAAAAATAATATAATTAGCATTTGAAGAAGTAAACCAACGCACTTATTCATTTTCCTGGCCACCTCAAGATACGTATAAGAAATCGACGCATGACGGGATAAGTCTCTTGAATGCGTAAAACATTGACGATCGTCTTAAGTTTGATGTGACGCAATTTGTCTTTAGCACAAACACAAATAACATAATATAATATAATTACATAATATAATATAATTACATAATATAATATAATTACATAATATAACATAACAAATGTACATTTAGCCTTCAAATCGACGGCCCCTTCGTAAAAAGCGTCATGTCAATTAAATAATAGTTTAAAAAAAAGTAACAAAATACGCTTTTTTATAGAAAATCCAACTGAAAAATAGAAAATAAATTTGAATTGAAAATAGTGTAAGAAAGAAATTATTTTATTGTAATGTTTTTAAACTGTATGAAAAGTGTGTGAAAAGTGAGTTTTTAAACTATTATTTATTTTTCATTTTTAGTTGAATTTTAATTTTTTCAATATTTTATTTTATAATTTTTTTTAAATATTGAATTGTCACTTGTCCTTAATAAGTATACCAAATTTCGAGTTAATCCGACGTTTTGAAGGGGGTCAAAATCATGTTCAAAGATTCCGTTACATACTAACATATACATACGTCTGAAACTAATAAAAGCGTATTAAAATGGTGATTTACAGGAGAGCGTTTTAAAGTTTCAATCTCATGTGTAATTAAATCATAAAAGTAGCTTCTATGTAGTAGTATTGATTTCAAGTATTCAATTTAGGCCGGTTCTAATGGTATAATCATTGTACATTGTACGGTAACCATTCAGCATCAGGTTGACCTATGCTTATCTACCTACAAGGTTATATGTATGTGTATATATATATATCGACGCTTGAAAGGCAAACGTGACTAAGCGAGAATGCGTGAACTTTACAGTAGACTAATTTAGAGTTCAAAAACCTGAAAAAAATCTATTTTAACGAATCTAGCTGTAGGATTGAAATGATTTTAATAGACCTAGACATATATATTTTTTGCGCATCGAATATGGTTATNAATGGTAGGAAGTTCCACGAAAGTTAAGAATGAGTCATAAAATAGCAGATGTTAAATTTGTAATTTGTTTTGTCATTTGTTCCTCCTAAATAATATAAATAAATAAAGCTCGACTGTCGCTTATAGAGGTATAGATAAGTAGCAGTCTCACTTACGGAGGTCCATGAGGGAAAAATGACTCTCTCTTACACAGGTTTTTGTTTCTCGCTAATAGAGGTTTTGGGAGCTTAAAATGACGGGTCCTGGCTATTACTCTCACTTATAGAGTTTTCTCACTTATCCAGGTTTGACTGTATATGGTAATATGAGAGAGAGTGAGAGTGAGTGAGAGAGAGAGAGAGAGAGAGAGAGAGAGAGAGAGAGAGAGAGAGAGAGAGAGAGAGAGAGAGAGAGAGAGAGAGAGAGAGAGAGAGAGAGAGAGAGAGAATGAGATAGAGAGAGAGAGAAAAAGAGAATACACTTTATTGCACACCAAAACAAAATTTACATTCAAAAAACAGTCGAAAAGCAGATACATTTGTACAATAGGCGGTCTTATCGCTAAAAGCGATCTCTTCCAGACAACCCTTTAATTTACAGAAATTCTGTACATGTAGAAATTTTGTACATTATTTTGGTTCTATTGTCAAAGACACAGAAGACTTCTATAATCACAGATTTCGCCAAGACTACACTGTAGATAAATAATATTGAAGACAAACAATATTAATCTATTCTCAATTTGACCACAAACTTTAAGCAATAATAAGTTTGACAATAAACAAAAGCGTGTGTGTGTCAAATACATGGTAATGTGCGTAATGTTTTTATTATTGATTTAATGTATTTTGTATGCATAATTAAAAAATAAATTAGCTTTCTGCATATTAGCGTCCTTCTCTATATATTCTCTATAAGTGTGAGAAATTTCATACTCTTCCGCCCACGCAATTTTCTTAAAAAGGGGTACAAAGATTTGCTTCACGTATTAATTATATAGATAACAAATTTTTAAGAGTCTATATTATTATTATAAGAGTTTTTTAATTTGTTTTCACAGTAGGCAGCGGCTTGTCGCTCGCTGCCCCTGGCACTGCTGAAGTCCATGGGCGCCGGTAACCATTCAGCATCAGGTTGACCTATGCTTATCTACCTACATATATATAACCGCGCGTAATTCGTTTCCAAATGATTCTTGTCCACCTGATGGTTGTCTGGAAGAGATCGCTCTTAGCGATAAGACCGTCAAATGTACTTTTTTGTATTTAATGTGTCGCACTGTTTATTTGTTTTTTGATATCATCATCATCATCAATCCTTCCTATTACCCTCTGCTGGGGTGTAGGGCTCGAATCAATTTTTTCCATTTACATCGGTCTTGGGCAGTTTGTTCTAGCTCCTCCCACGTCATGCCCAAGATTATGTACAATAAATACTCTCTCTCTCTCTCTCTCTCAAAGGCATTTTTTTTAATATCCAATATGAGGGTACCTGCGCGTGTGCGTTGATAATATCGCGTACATTGCTGGCTCGGGTCGAGTTCAATTGTCTTCGTTGTTGCTGTATCGTCGCCGAGAGCTTGTCCAAGAACGCGGGCTGCACCGCAATTGGCACTGTACCTGTATGAAAATATAATAATAATGATAAATTTTATTTCAGAATTAAATTCCATATGAAGTGTTAGTAATACAAAATCTTTCTCGAGTTATCATCGGTCCTTTATAAGTGTGCCAAATTTCGAGTTAATCCTTCGATCAACAATAGTAACTAGATTTCGGGTCGGTGCATAAAATCCGTCTCGTCAAATAACAGCGCACTTGAAATGTGAGCTCTTATTTTGTTTAGTTCACTTCAAACACAGCCAATGTCAACCCGTCTCACAATAACGCAGTGTGTATTCAAAAGTTGCAAAAATAAGGCCCGAAAAAGCAATTTAACGGCCGGAGTATCTTACTTTCGGTAAGTACATGAAGTATAAACTATATTGTAAGCTTTAAACTTATAAATAATATTAAATTTTGAACAAAATTACCGATTTTTAACCACCGCTACAAATGTTGGCCAAGGCCCGGCCAACACATGGACAANATGGTGACACCTCGTCGTCGGCTCAGCCCCTATCCGGCGCAGGTACTTCCCGAAGCATCCGTGCCCGGTCAGCACCTGCACCAGACGAAAGGTGAGACGTCCTTCGCCACGATTCACCCAGTCATCAAAGACCGGGTAAACCGCCTCGACGGTCCGTAGCCCCCACGTGGGGTTGGCCAATCGCCTCGACCACGACTCGAGCACGGAGAACCTACATATACATAGGTTTAAGAAAACTATTAAAGAGCATATTTGTGCAATAAGCTTACTATAAAGTCAATGATTATCTAGAAGATTGCACAAAGTGGGAATGAGTTGCTCGCTCCGGGCATTTCAATATTGCAATAATTGTTACGTTATAATACTCATTGTAAAAATTAACATTTAAAATATATATATATATATATATGCCCGCTGAGTTTCTTGCCAATTCTTCTCAGGACGGAGGCTAGTTTTTGTGAATTGGCGGTAGTTCTTTTTGACGTTCAACAATTGATTTGATTTGATTTGATTTGATTTAAAAGCGTATTAAAAAGTGGTATAAAGCGGTGTAATTGTATGTTCGTCACCTTTCCCCTTGGCGGGGTCGGCGCGGCGCGGGGCGCGCGGGGACAGCTGCGGCGCCAGCTTCGCGCTCAGACTCGCGATCAGCCCGCCCTCTGCCGACAACAAACAACGCTTAGGAAACATTACAACAAGACTAAAACAAGTTGACATCAAATTTATAACGAGAGGTGAAAGGCTATACGGTTAAAGCATAGTTGATATTTGTAATTAAAGGTACGTTTTATTTGGCACTGGCGACCCGCCCTCGCTTCGCTTCGGAAACTGTAATTTATTATTGATTTCTCCACTATTTAATGGATGCTATTATACATATAAGCCTTCCTCATCAATCACTCTATCTATTAAAGAAAACCGCATCAAAATCCGTTGCGTAGTTTTAAAGATTTAAGCATACATAAGGATGTAGGGACAGAGAAAGCGACTTTGTTTTATACTATGTGATGATTAGCATTAATTAAGTTTACTCCGTTTAAATTGCTGAACAATTTTTTTTTGTTAAGATTTTTTTTTTTAATTTTTTGATAAAATTGCTAAAATGTCGTTTAAACCAAAAAGCCGTTCATCCCCCCGATAACATGATAACGTTATATCGTCGTTGTCAAAGCAAAAACTGCTATGTGCACCTTTTGAGATTTTTACTTTTTGACCTTTTCGTATAGTTCACAGCCGTATGTATCGTATAAAAAAAATTGTTATGTGTCTATAGCTTTAATATTTATCTGTAGCTTTCATTTGAGCATCATCATCATCATCATCAACAGCCCACAGTCGTCCACTGCTGGACATAGGCCTCTCCTAATCCACACCACTGAGCCTGGTCTACGGCTCTCCTCATCCACTACTTGTCGGCCACCGTTCGGAGGTCATCTCACCACTTCATTCACTTCATTTGTTTTACTTCTTAAAAATTCACCTTCATATAAAATTTTATACGAAAATGTTTTTACTCATTAATTCAAAATAGAGTTTTTGCACATAACTGATTTTGGTTTGACAGCGACGATATGTGGTTATGTCGCGTGAATCAAAGATGGCACATTGTGTTCGCTATATTCAGTGTATAAATATTCAGATAATACTAAGTCCTAGTAGAAGGAAGCAATTGATTTGAGCGAAAAATACGACTAGGAGATTCACAAGAGAATGAGCAACGCTCTGTAACACAGCATAATGCAAGTGGTGTGGGGTATGTGCACGCCGCGTCCCGCCCCGCCCCGCCCCGCCCCGCCGCGCCTCACCTGCGCTGGTCCGCTGCGTGTCGGCGCTGTGCGAGCGCGCCGCGATGCCGCGCCGCAGCGCGAGCGGGCTGGTGTCGAGGCGCGGGTTGTTGTAGCCGCCCATTAGCTGCGACGGCTGCGCGTATATGCTGTTGCTCTGACCGTACTTCTTCTCTTGCTGCAGCTTGAAGCCTGAACCATAAATTGTTACTTTTATTTTTAAAAAAAAATCACATCTTCAAATATAACTCAAGTAAAATAACAAGTATTAAAATCAATGTTTATACATTTATCATAAGTAGAGGTCCCGCAGTAGTCGAAATTCGACTATAATTAATTGGAATTGTAAGTTTGTACACTTATATGATTGTATTTTATACTTCTATATTCACAAATTTGGCCAAGACTACACTATAAAAAATATTAACAAACAATATTTAATCTATTCTCAATTTGACAACAGACGTCAAGAACAAAGGTTTGACAATAAATAGTATGCATGCGTGTGTGCGTCTAATACATGGTATGTAGTGTGTGTAATATTTTCTTTATTGATTTAATGTATCTTTTATGCATTATTTAAAAAAAAAATTAGCATTGTGCACTTCTTCTCTATATTATCTATAAGTGTGGAAAATTTCATACTCCTCCGTCCGCGCAATTTTCGTAAAAAGGGATACAAAGTTTTTGCTTCACGTATTAATATATAGATACATGTTTTTTTTTGAGGCAGCGACTTAGGAATGACTTGGTTCTTGTCGGCGTCTTAGGACAGATTTCAATCAACTGACAAACAGGCGGCGGATCTGTATTTTCAATTCAAATTCATTTTGACATTCAACAAGTGTGTTTTTGATGACATCCAAGTTAAAATAAATGATTTTGAATTTGAATTTGAATTTGAATAAACCGTTGTATCTCATATAATTAGCGAGTCTCACCGGAATCAAATCTGGATTTCGTTAGTTTCGAATTAATAAACAAAGTAGTTTGAGGAGTGTGATCATACGACTGTATAAACCTGGTATTATCCAGTAACTGCTGGTTGCGCAGCGTGCTGTAGGGCTCGACCAGAAGAATCAGAATCAATTATTGGTGGTAGTTGGTAGGACCTCTTGTGAGTCCGCACGGGTAGGTCCCACCACCCTGCCTATTTCTGCCGTGAAGCAGTAATGCGTTTCGGTTTGAAGGGTGGGGCAGCCGTCGTAACTATACTGAGACCTTAGAACTTACATCTCAAGGTGGGTGGCGCATTTACGTCGTAGATGTCTAGATGCTCCAGTAACCATTTAACACCAGGTGGGTTGTGAGATCGTCCACCCATTTAAGCAATAAAAAAAACCTTTAGTGTCATTCACGGACCTCAGCAATGCCAGGGTCAGAGCCAAGCCGCTACCTACCCAAACTCTCCCATAAAAGCCTCATTTGAAAACCGGTCATTGCTTAAGTCACAACTCGGAAAGTTCCGGTACAGCACGTACCGGTCTGTCCGTAGTGAGATTCGCTGGTACTCCGGAGCCCGAAGCTCGACAGCGAGTTGTCGCTGTGGCTCGGGGTCGAGGGCGTGGAGCCCTGCGGGGAGCCTCGGCCCTCCGTGAACATTGGACCTGCCGGGGCAATAACAGTTTAAGAAACAGACGCGCTTTTGAGTCTCCGAGTTCATATCTCAAGGATGACGTCCAGACGATGTCTATGGACTATGGGCAGGGGGCCATAAGATCGTTCGGCCCTCGGTACAATAAGATGATAAAAACTTTTTTGACGTGACAACGTCTTATAATTCGATGGAGCCGACTGCACGCACGGGAAAACTTGACTCATTGAGGCGTTCCATTTAAGGCTTGAAGTGCAAGCGAGAGCGCGCAACGAGCGACAAAGAGGCACAATCGGCCCCCGCGTTCGGCAGCGTTCGACATCTGTCTCTCTCCTACTTGAGTGAGCGATGCATCCGCGTGGACAGCTGCTATACAATAATACATTTACATGTTTTCGTCAAGTATGAAGTTCAGTGAAAAGTGAATGTGGTGTCAATTGTTTATAGCAACGATAATTGCGATAATTGAAAAATGAAACCATTCCATCAGTATTTTCTTATGACGTNTGGACAGCTGCTATACAATAATACATTTACATGTTTTCGTCAAGTATGAAGTTCAGTGAAAAGTGAATGTGGTGTCAATTGTTTATAGCAACGATAATTGCGATAATTGAAAAATGAAACCATTCCATCAGTATTTTCTTATGACGTTGTCACGTTCAACTATCGTCAGTAAACAGACTTTACAGACAACCGATTTTTTTTTTATTGCCTTTTAGGCAGACGATCATACGGCCCACCTGCTGGTGAGTGGTTACCGTCGCCCATGGACTTCAGCAATGCCAGGGGCAGAGCCAAGCCGCTGCCTACCGCTTACAACGGCTGCCGCAACCTTCAAACTGAAATGCATTACTGCTCCACGGTAGAAATAGGCAGAGTAGTGGTACCTATCTATCGCGGACTCACTATAGGTCCTACCACCGGTAAATGTTCGTCTGTCTTTTTGTTCGTCTGTTGATCGAAAAACGATCATAATGACGCTTTAAGCTTAGATTCGTTTCCTCTTGCGCGCCGTTAACCACTTACCATCAGGTGGGCCGTGTGCTCGGCTGCCTGCTCGAGCAATAAAAAGAAACACTATACTTGAGACCTTAGAACTTATATCTCAAGGTGGGTGGCGCATTTACGTTGCAGATGTCTATGGGCCCCAGTGACCACTTAACACCAGGTTGGCTGTGATCTCGTCCAACCATCTAAGCAATAAAAAAAACAACATGAAACCATACCAATATTAGCTTCCTTGAAGATATCCGAGTTGGAACCGGACATGCTGGTCTTCCTCGCGTGCGCTGAATTCTCCACGTAAGTCATGATCCGGTGGCCGGTCTGTCCGTAGATTGGGTTCAGGTTCCCAGTGTTGCTGACGTTGACCGTCGACGAGAAACCGGTCTTGGCCTGCTGGAACGTGCTGAGGGAGAGCGCGGTCTGGGCGGGCGAGGTCGTGGAGTTTAGCTGTTGGACGCTACGTCGCACCAGACCAGGGGAAGCAGGCGTGTGCTTCAACTCGGTCAGTTGCTTCACGGTCTCCGCCACGTTGGTGGGTTGCTGTCCTGTACGAATGTGAGGGGTTCCGTCAACGTAAGCTTAAAGACGACCTCCTTAACGTCAGGATCCGATCGCCAAGAAAACAATGACGAATATTTAAATTTGCCTTTTTTATGATTGAAAAATTACTGGTGGTCCGAAGGCCTTTCCAGTTTCACCAGGACAGTTGGGCGAGCAAAGGCTCAGCCAGGAGGGGTGGGATCGAAAAAAAAAACAAAATTTCCCTTGCAACAAAAACTATGTGCGCAGGACAAACCAAGACAATTATGCTGAATTTGTACATGGTCCCTACAACTATACAACAAAAAAAAAGACGATAACAATCTAACTTATAATGTAAGGAAATAATATTACTCACAATTTACACTAACCTACATATTATAATAATAAATAATATTATTTCATATTATAACAGAACGTAAGAGGAACATATGCTTGGCTTAAAGGTCTCGTTGCGAGGCCGTAAAATCTTCATACGAAAAAAACAACTTACCATGATTAGTTTCGCCGTCAGGCTGCAATAAGAAAGCCGGTGGCGGCGGAAGGTTGTCGGCGTCCGTTGGCCCCATTGGGGGGCTCTGGGTGTTTGTCTAGAAACACAAGCAGTTACTTCGCTTTTGTTCCGTACACAGCTAACCGAGGGCTTGGGTCAGCGGTTCTCAACCATTAGATTCAACGTCAATTAAAAATAGGATATTATTATTAAAGCAACGACCAGGCGTTATTGCACGTCTGGAATACATACCGACGGGTTATTAAACTGTAACATCATTGAGCTATTTAGCGTAGCTTTAGTAGAGTTCTTGCAAACGATTGTATATTTACTTCGTAGTTCGAAAGGTGAGAGAGTATTTGGCTTAAACGACATTTTTGCAACTTTTAAGAGCCATTTAAAGTTGAACATTTTTGGGAAAATATCATAACAAAAAAAAATACATGTGTGCAATTCACACGTGGTAGAAGTGAAACCTTCAAAAATTAAAATACAATTATCCTAAATGTCTAAGTATTATGTAAAATTTTGTCATTAGTAAATAATTGTAAATCATCTTTTATAGTATGAGGTAGCGCCCTCTGTGAATTGATATTTTAACTTCACGTATAATCCTAAATTAAAATTCACTACAAGAGGTCTCGTACACACGTTAGTATGAAAAAATCTCACAGATGGCGCTGTATTAAAAAAACACTACACTGAGAACGTCTAATGTGTTCTATCTCGTTCTCTCGTCGGCTGAATCCTATACATTTATGTGTTTGTGTCTCTATGGACTTATTTTTTCGTTTCATCGAGTTTGAAATCACCACGACTCTAAAGAAGTTTCACTTCAAACAAAAAAATATCAGCTATTTGAATGCAGCAAACTTAATTGTCGCGTCACGCTACGTCACGTTAGTCTCACCTGTCCATAGGCCGGTCGTTGAGGTCGCGATATGGAGGAGGACCGGCGCACTGGGGGCGGCGGCTTCCCGAGCGAGCTGGAGGAACCACGCCTCGACCACACCGTCGCTGCGAGACGGAAACACCAGTCATATTTAAAGCTTTTATTTTACTGGTGGTAGGACCTCTTGTAAGTCCCCACGGGTAAGTACCACCACCCCGCCTATTTCTGGGCAGGGCAGTGGTACCTACCCGCGCGGACTCACAAGAGGTCCTACCACCATTAAATATAGCACTTTCATAGGTCTTGCAATGTCCTGTAGGTACTGAAAAAGACATCGCTATACCTACCGTATGTAGTGACAACATCGGGAGCACTCTGCATTACAGAGGCCTTTGTACCGGTGTGCTTAGTGTGAGTTTTTTAACGTTCTCGATAGCGTAAAAGTTAACTCAAATTTGTATGTAATTGGAACAGCGCCCTTAGGAAGCTAAAAAAGTCGCACTAAGCACACTGAACACTTTACAATGAATATAAGGAACGGAAAAAAAACCACGTGTAAATTTGGCCGCAAAAAAAAAAGCATCTAAACATATTCATGCAGCATCATTCGTGATAAAGACACAAAAATCTAAATCAGCTGCCTTTAAGAGAACTACAAACCTTAGAACTTTGTTGATCACCATCAAAATCCATTCGTGTGTCTCAGTGCACGCATGATTTCGATATCCAACGCTGGCACTCCGATCGAAACTTATAAACGCGACCATCGCTAGTCGGTAATGTACTTAAAATTGTTGCATACCCGCATTCTGTAAGCCTCTGCTGGGACCTTCTTTTACCAGAAGCTTTTTTTTAAATGCCATTGTTGACAGTTAAACGAAAGATTCCGAGTAATTTTAATTTGCTTAATAATTACTGAATAATTTCAATCAATATTATAGATTTCGTCAGAGCAATAGAGGTGTTAATTGATATTTGATTAAAATGAACCTAATTCCGGAACTAACAAATCTTTCGTTTAACCATGTCGGACGTTGGTAGTGTTTTCTGACCTGTCATTGACAGGGGCCGCCGCTTGGGCACGGCCGGTTTCTTCCCGATGGTGGCGAAGGGGGGAGAGTCGCAGGCCGCGTCGAGCGACCTCACCGCCTCCTCGAGACTCCCGAGGGATATCGAAAAGCTCTCGCGCGCGGCCGCTACGGAAGCTTCGGTGGCGCGACGCAGCGTTACGATCTCAGAATCGACTGAGCAACGGAAAAATCATGCAAAGCTTTGTGTAAACGAAAAAAAAACAAAAACAACAAACTTTTGAAAGAATTTCACGGTTGATATATCTGTTTCAAGGTCAATTAGAAGGGACTTCATGATCCACACGCTTCGAATAAGGAATACTCAAAGTTTACATATGAAGTTTTAAAAGGTAATCAGTTTCGACTATACGGTACTTTCAATGGCTTACCGAGTCGTGGGCACAATTAAGACAGTACTTTTACTGGTTTAATTTCGCTCTATTATTACCGACATATCGAATACTATTTCGATATCGAGGCTATTTCAGCTTCGCCCTAACGTGTAGGTGAGCTCACGTGGACGTGCTCACAGCCCACCTGATGTTAAGTGGTTACTGGAACCCATAGACATCTACAACGTAAATGCGCCACCCACCTTGAGATAAAAGTTCTAAGGTCTCAGTATAGTTACAACGGCTGCCCCACCCTTCAAACTGAAGCGCATTACTGCTTCACGGAGTTTCCTTCTTTTGTTTACATTTCTATAATTTTCTCTAACATAAACAGTGAAAGTTTCCTCACGTAATACGCCCACATAAGTATAAAAACCCCACATATTTATTTTACGTTTTACGAAATCATTGAACACGAGATAATTCATCTCTAAAAAATGAACAGTGAATATATTTATATAAAAACCGTGAAATTGATTCAATGTTATAAAAAATAAACAAAACGAAAACATTCAACAAGCAAAAGTGAACCTAAAAACAAGGGTATCAGCATCCCCTATGGATTGACAATAATTGTTCTAAATTGGTTAGTTAATTTGAAAACAATACAAAAAGCATGGGGGTCATACGCTGTCTATTTAAATTATAAAGCAAGCTATTCAATTAACGAGACTGAGTATTGAGTATGAAACGGATAGCTGCTTGAGTGACAATCATTAAAGTCGGATAACCGGTTCAATTTATTGCAAGCGATCACAAAACCGGTTCAAAAGGTTCATCATTATCATCAGCCTGTATCTCTCCACTGCTGGATGTAGACCTCTTCCATAGTCTACTAAAAGGTTTGTCATTAACAAATCTTCCTTTCTTTTTTTTTTTTCCTACCTATGCTGATAGCTTTAGAGGCTATTTCAGCTTCACCCTAACGTGTGTAGGTGAGCTCACGGGGCTCAAACCGGAGTGTTGCTAATACTGACCCTAGCAAGAGTAGTGCTTCGCAGAATCTACCACCGGATCGGAAACGCGACCCACTGAGAAGATCCGGCGAGAAACTTAGTGGGCTTTGTCTATGGGTCAATTCGCTCGTCGAGCGCTTCGTCGCAAGCGACGGGTTCGACGAGGACGGTGACTGGACTAAAATCTTCCCTTTTTTTTCCTTGAAAAGACCAAGAGAATATTTGATACTGCTTGAACGAATCTAAATCTTCAAGTGTACGTAGTTTAGAATCGAATTTCGCATGCTCTACGAAAAATACTAAAAGTAATTATGTATGTACTTTCAAAGTATTTTATTATGTATCGCTTGTAAATGAAAAATTCCAAATGTGCAAGGGCATTGTCCATGTTAATAGTAGATTAAGCAGTATAATTGTTTAGTGTTTATTTTGAGTAGAATTACTTTCATAACATTATAAGTTAGATTAATTCCCGTTATCTATATATTATATATTTTATCCTACAGGATCCACATTAGAAACATTGTGTACTTAGCACATTAATCTTGATTAATCGTGTGCACAGATTTTTTACTTGTTTATTATTGTGTAACTTGTAATGTTTATTTTGTGTCTAATAAATAAATAATAATAAATAAATACGCCAATTGAAACATTTACATCCTTGTTAAATGATTGTTCTACAAAAATCCCGTGTAAATTCTAAGCTAATATCGCGTATTATTTTATTCATAAAACCCCTACAAGTTCACGGTAAAACTGAATGAAAACAAAGTTTTTCCTGTTACCTTGATTTTAACAAACTTCAAGGCGGCATTAGTTCAAAACAAACATGCCTAATAAAAACTAGAAAATCGAAGATGGACAAATACTTATAAACAACTTAAACGCTTTTATTGCTTAGGTATTAAAGCTCGATATTGAAAAACACGAAACTAAATTAAAATTAGAAATCTACAATGGTAAACAAGACAGGATTGTTCATTCAAAAATCAACTTTATTTCAATACAATAGAATCCTTACCGTCTGCGTGCTGGACTTGATGCTGAATTGTGAGGTCTTCGGCAGCGAAGGCTCCTTGACTTCCGTAGCCGCTTGACGACTCTAAAGACGATTCGCTAGCACTGCTCTCTGAACACACCTGGAATTCAGAGATACTAAGCCTTTAGCTATGATAAATTACTTTCATATCAGTGGTTTGTAATACGCTTTTATTAGCTTCAGACGTATGTATATGTTGGTATGTAACGGAATCTTTGAACATGATTTTGATCCCCTTCAAAACGTCGGATTAACTCGAAATTTGGTATACTTATTAAACACAATGGTTTGGTATCAATAGTTATAAATATTTTATGAACAGATATGAGTAGAAGGGTTATTTTGATAATATCCTGAAAAGCACCGCACGCTTTTTTTACAACAAAATCACTATTCTTACACTATTTTTAATTCGAATTTATCATAATTTATTTTCTATTTTTTAGTTAGATTTTCTATAAAAACGTATTTTGTTAGTTTTTTAAACTATTTTTTTCCTACCCAAGCTGATGGCCTTGAGAGTCCATTTCAGCGTAACCATAACAAGTAAGCAAGCTCGCGGAACTCAAACCTGACGACATTGCTAACACTAACAAGAGCAGTGCTTCGCAGAGTCTACCACCGGATCGGAAACGCGACCCACTGAGAAGATCCGGCGAGAAACTCAGTGGGCTGTGTCTGGGGGTTAATTTACTCGCCGAGCCCTTCATCACAAGCGACGGGTTCGACAAGAACGATGACCGGTGCTTGAGGTACCTAAAAGCACCGTTAGTGGATCGGGAGGATCCGAAATGACGGGCGACGTCGACTGTATACTATCACTGGAGGGGGCATGGTTCGACATTGCCCCCACCGGACAATACCTCATTGCGCCCAAAAAAATTGGCACTTTTAAAGAAACACTATTGTATTGTTGCATTATTTTCAAAATCAAACTACCCTACCCAGAAATTATGTGACCTTTGATTGGATTAGCGAAATTAAGAAATATCAATTGACCCGTTCGCGTAAAGCTGAAATAGCTCTTTAGGATACCAGCGAATTTACTGGCGGTAGGACCTCTTGTGAGTTCGCACGGGTAGGTATCACCACCCTGCCTATTTCTGCCGTGAAGCAGTAACGCGTTTCTGTTTGAAGGGTGGGGCAGCCGTTGTAACTATACTGAGATCTAAGAACCCATATCTCAAGGTGGGTGTCGGCATTTACGTTGTAAATGTCTTAGATTCCGGTAACCACTTAACACCAGGTGGCCTGTGAGCTCGTCCACCCACCTAAGCTATAAAAAATGTATTGACGATAATGTATTGAAAAGTGGAAGGAAGCCCTAATAGTTCCCATACATAAGAATGGGAAAAAAGATCTAATAACTAATTATCGGCCCATCTCCATCCTTTGTACATTTGCTAAAGTCTTTGAAAGTTTAGTTTATACTCATATTTACAATCATGTAAGAAACCAGCTGTCCCCATTTCAGCATGGCTTCATGACGAAGCGGTCCACGAATACGAATTTATTTCAATACGTAGATGATGTTGCGGTCATCATTGACAACTCTGGGCAAGTTGACGCAATATATACTGATTTTTCTAAGGCCTTTGATAAAGTTAACCACAGCATTTTACTAGAAAAACTACATCAATTTGATATCGAAGTTCCTCTGCTTAGATGGTGTTCTTCGTATCTAAACCAAAGGCCGTCACAGGTTGTTATNGAGCGCCTCCGAAGGAGACCTAACAGCTCAAGAGCAGCTGCTTCGCGAATGAATCTACTACCGGATCGGAATCGCGACCCGCTGAGAAGATCCGGCGAGAAACTCAGCGAGCTGATTCATGGGTTAGGTTACACGGCGAACTCTTTGTCGAGTTCGACGAGTACGGTTACCGGGGTCCCTAAGCCTGCTCCTAGTGTTAGAGCTGAAGGCGTCTAATGCAAAGGATCTGATGGATCCGTAAGGACGTGTCTAGGGCGTCGACGGTGACTGGCTCCTGCGTGATCAGGATTCGGGGGGTAGTCAGCGGCGGCAACGATAAGGCGATTGTCATGACGCATAGCCTTATCGAAGTACCGTTCCGATGCTGACTTCATTTATTTCCGGATTGATTCGAGGCCCAGGTCATCGTGTTGGTCAACGTTCATCACGAACCACGGAGCTCCGACGGCTAACCTGCAAAAGCGGGTGTGTAGAGATTGGAGGGTGTCTATGTGTGTGCGGGCCGCGTGAGCGAACACCACACTCGCGTAAGTCATGACGGGCCCTACCTAAGCTGATGGCCTTGAGAGTCCATTTCAGTGTAACCATAACAAGTAAGCTCGCGGGGCTCAAACCTGACGACGTTGCTAACACGAACCCTAGCAAGAGCAGTGCTTCGCAGAGTCTACCACCGGATCGGAAACGTGACCCACTGAGAAGGTCCGGCGAATGAAGAGAACTCAGTGGGCTGTGTCTATGGGTTAATTTACTCGCCGAGCCCTTCGTCGCAAGCGACGGGTTCGACAAGAACGATGACTGGTGCTTGAGGTACCTAAAAGCAGCGTTAGTGGATAGGGAGGATTCGAAATGACGTGTTTTGGGCGACGTCGACTGTTTACTATCACTGAAGGGGGTAAGGTTCGACACCGCCCCCACCAGACAAAAACCACATTGCGCCCAAAAAAACGGCACTATGAAAGAAATACTATTGTATTGTTGCATTATTTTCAAAATCAACTACCCTACCCAGAAATTATGTGATCTTAAGCTTTATTAGGATTCGCGAAATCAAAAAATATCAGTTGACCCGTCCACGTGAAGCTGGCTATCAGCGAATTTACTGGTGTAAGGACCTCTTGTGAGTTCGCGCGGGTAGGTACCACCACCCCGCCTATTTCTGCCGTGAAGCAGTACTGCGTTTCGGTTTGAAGGGTGGGGCAGCCGTTGTAACTATACTGAGATATAAGAATCCATATGTCAAGGTGGGTGTCGGCATTTACGTTGTAAATGTCTTAGACTCCGGTAACCACTTAACACCAGGTGGCCTGCGAGCTCGTCCACTCACCTTAGCTATAAAAAAAAATATTGACTATTTTATAACACGAATTCACGGTTAATTTAGTATTGTGTGAATTCCCTATAGACTAGAATGTATTTGTTTGGTACGATGTCAGCAAATGGTAGCGACTTGCCTGTGGCCCTTGGTTTTAACGTATTTTGGACTTAACTGCATGGCTCAAAGGAACATCGGCACAATTTACTGTATGGCATGTGAACCCAATTTTAAAACAATTAACATAATGTGTATGAGATAATAATTATTGTTGCCGATCTCATGTATTACATACACTTACATTATACAAAACGGAACAATGGCTTGTGATGTGATTACTGTTGCCTTCTTATTGTTTTTATTACGAATATGTGTGTGCGTGTACCACGACCGAATGGATTTGATCATTTATGTTCAATATTATTAAATCGAACAAAATGATAATGAAGACGTTTTTTTTTGTTTTTTTTGTGTGTTTTATTCATTTATTTATTTATTACACTTCATGTAAAATTTACATTGGCGGACTTAATGCCTATGGCATTCTCTACCAGTCAACCAAAGGTAGTGCAGAGTAAATAGTGGTAGGTGCAATGAAATTTATATTAAATTACAAATATATACATACACAAAAGATATATACATATATACAGTGTTTTAATGGTTATTGGAGCCGGTCGACGTGAATGTCGGCACTCATTTTGAGATATTATGTTATCAAAAGTCTTAGTTCTATAGTACAACGGCTCTACCGCGCTCATAGCTGGAAGGCATTATTTACTGCTTCACGGCAGAAACCGACAGGGTCCAGTGTGCTTAGTGCTAGTTTTTTAACGTTTTCGATGGTGTAAAAGTTAACTCTAATTTGTATGCAGTTGGAACAGCGCCCCTAGCGGCAAAAGTAGGCAAACGTTTGATGAAATCAGAAAGGCATCCGGCCCATCAGTAATATTTTTTTTATTGATGCACAAAACAAATTACAATTGAAATATTTAACATAACAATATGTAATAATTATACATACACACATACGCTCACACACACACACTCAAACATATATGTAAGTTACTATCTAATTCAATTAAATTTAAATTAATTTATTAATTAAATAATATAATTTAATTAGTTAATTTAATTAATAATAAGGGTTTAATAATATAATTTAATTAATGCCTCAATCATAAACGTACGTAATACGTGCTATATTCTTACAGATAGCTCTTCCTGGTTGACTTACTTTACCTGGTGACCTAGAACTGAACCACAGACTTTTATAATACAGGTTTTCCTAGCATAAAAGTCAGGGAATATTGTTTATACCATAACATAACCTCATAAAAAAGCCATGTATATTATTATCCTAGTGTTAAGAATTCTTGCAAGTGTTCGTATTTTAAGAGGCTTGAATAAATATTATTATTATTATTATAAAAAAGAGGAACTAAAATTAATTTCAAGTATCAAGACTCGTATCTCGACTGCATCTCGATACTACCAGTTCTACGGTCGATATAATAAAAGCGTCGATAATTATTTTCACGGCGCATAACGCTCCGTGTGGTTGAATACGTACGTACAGTCAGTCGTTTTGCTATCGCTTCGAGAGATTTACGTTCGAAAAAAACGTTGTATTAAACATGGCCTCGAACGCTGATAAGCTGCTTTGGATTTTACTGTGAGTATTTATTTACTGATAGTTTTCTCTGTACCTATCTCCTGATCGAATTAAAGTTGAAATACAACAGAGTCTAATAAGCATCGTTCGACGGTTCTTCAATATTATGTTTCCTAACAAAATTATATTTATGTGAATTAAACTGAACTAGTGGCCCAGCAGTAGTCGAGATTCGACTGTAATTAATTGAAATTATAAGTTTAAACATTATTATGGTTCTACTATCAAACACTATTATATTTCGATAATATTATCAAAGTATTCGCCAAAACTGCACTATAGATCAATAATGTTAATGACAAAAATTATTAATCTGTTTTCAATTCGACCAGAGACTAAAAAATAACAAAAGTTTCCCAATTGAAAGTAAACAAAGAGTATATTTTTATGTATGTGTTGTGTCAAATACATGGTAGTGTGCGTAATGTTTTCTTTATTGATTTAATGTATCTTTTATGCATTATTTTAAAAAAAAATAGCATTGTGCACTCCTCCTCTATATTCTCTATAAGTGTGGAAAATTACATACTCTTCCATCCGCGCAATTTTCGTAGAGAGGGATACAAAGTTTTTGCTTCACGTATTAATATATAGATTGATAAAGCTCAATGCATTAAATATACATTTTAAATCGATACATTAAATCGGTTCAAATAAACTTATCGGTCAACCTATTTTATTATTACGAACATTCACAAAGTAACTGTACGCTAATTCTCCATACTCCATAACCTTTATTTTTTTCTGTTCCTCTTATTATAATAGGCGTTTACTATAATTAGATTAGTATATGGATTCTTGTTTTAAGACTTCTGTATTATGCTTTACATTACTAATTCTGCATTAATAAATGACAATGAAATGAAATGAAAATAATTAATGAAAAGAGATGACAAAAAAAGAGATAGCGCGAGAAAGGGAGTGTGTGAAAGAGACAGCGTCAAAGAGAGAGAGAGTGAGAAAGAGAGATTAAACTTTATTTCACACCAAAACACAATTAACATTTACAAGCAGTCAACGTTAATAATAGTTAGGTAAGAAAGGGAGAAAACAATGAAAAGAAAAATCCCAGACATCGAAGAAGATTGAGTGAGGCGATATGTAATAAAGGTAGGTGTCAATTAGTCATAAATAAGTTAAAATAATAGAGATGATTTGGTATGAGAACCCTCGCCCGGCGAATCTAGTATAACCCCTCGAGGTTGCAGGAATGGGTAGGAAAAACAAAAAACAAAAAAGAACAATAAAGCTTTAGTAGGGAATCAGATATATTTCACCCGGTCATCGTTCTTGTCTAACCTGTCGCTTGCGACGAAGGGCTCGACGAGTAAACTAACCCACAGACACAGCTCACTGAGTTTCTAGCCGGATCTTCTCAATGGGTCGCATTTCCGATCCGGTGGTAGATTCTGCGAAGCACTGCTCTTGCTAGGGTTCGTGTTAGCAACGTCGTCAGGTTTGAGCCCCGTGAGCTCAGCTACTAGTTAAGGTTACGCAGAAATATCCTCTCAAGGCTCTCAGCTTAGGTAGGAAATATATACATATTTCACGATAATTGGTTAAGTTTGGCTCGGCTAATCAACAGCTGTGTACTGCCCACAATATCACCCGCCCACTGCTGACTATAACACCAGTCAGAGAAGAGACGAGGCGTAATACAGTTCAGTATTGACAGACAGATTTTGGTCCATCGGTCGGCATCACCAATATACTTTTATCCCGAACCAATCACGCACTCTGACGTGAAGGATGGATCTACCAATGTCCTATCACCAGTAAAGCAGTCTATGGGCAAACAAAGACTGACCATTAACTAAAGCTTTATATCAAATGAAACCATTTCAGATTCGCGGGCGTTCTTTCTTACGGCACGCAATGGTGAGTGAAATCAATTATTATTATTTGGGGATGCTTAAACGACAAAGGGAAGAAAGATCTTCCACCGAGCGGGTGATATTTGCTCGGTAGATTGACGGTCCAAATGTTGTTGTTCGGAACTTGTATATATGCAAGCTTATCTTGAAAATGTCGTAAGCGAGATTCAGGCATCTGTCAAATATCTTGCGTTGTATGATGACTACCCGCCACAATTATGCACTTGTAATGGACTCGCAATGTGCGAGCCGACATCGCGTGTCACACAACCTATCTATTTTTTACGGCCCAATTGAAGGTAGACAATCAATGTCGGTCATGGACATCAACAAAACCAAGGGCCACAGGCAAGTCGCTACCATTTGCTGACATCGTACCGAACAAAGACATTCTAGTCTATAGGGAATTCACACAACACAAAATAACCCGTGAATTCATATTACAAATTCATCAATACATTTTATTCATTGCTTAGGTGGGTGGATGAGCTCACAGCCCACCTAGTGTTAAGTGGTTACTGGAGCCCATAGACATCTACGACGTAAATGCACCAACCACCTTGAGATATAAGTTCTAAGGTCTCAAGTATAATTACAACGGCTGCCCCAACCTTCAAACCGAAACGCATTACTGTTTCACGGTAGAAATAGGCGGGGCGGTAGTACCTACCCGTGCGGACTCGCAAGTGGTCCTACCACCAGTAATTACGCAAATTATAATTTTGCGGGTTTGATTTTTATCACGCGATGTTATTCCTTCACCGTGGAAGTCACTCGTGAACATTTGTTGAGTACGTATTTCATTAGAAAAATTGGTACCCGCCTGCGGGATTCGAACACCGTTGCATCGCTTCAACACGAATGCACCGGACGTCTTATTCCTTTCGGCCACGACGACTTCAGATTTTCCACAAGTTACGTTATTGTTGAACGTATGTAAGTTATCTTCACGATTTCTTCAAGATCCGTTTATAAAACTTATAAAAACATAACTAATCAATTAAAAACATCGATATTTAACTATAACTTCATTCTACTAAAACATTCAGACTTCATAAAAAAGTATCTAATGAATAAAAATTGTATTTTTGTTTGTTCGTTTTCTATCCCTTCGGTCTGTAGGGTATTGGCGGTTGTTGGCACTCTTCCTAATCCTCAATGCTGAGGGTCGTGGCCTCCTCTAATAACTTTTTCCTCGATTATCCTGCCCCCCATATTTACTGGTGGTAGCACCTCTTGTGAGTCCGCGTGGGTAGGTACCACTACCCTGCCTATTACTGCGACACAGTAATGCGTTTCGGTTTGAAGGGTGGGGCAGCCGTTGTAACTATACTTGAGACCTTAGAACTTATATCTCAAGGTGTGTGGCGTATTTACGTTGTAGATGTCTATGGTTTCCAGTAACCACTTAATACCAAGTAGGCTGTGAGCTCGTCCACCCATCTAAGCAATAAAAAAAAACCTGCCTATCCTCGACTGTGTGGATACCAATGTTGCCCAGATATGCTCCATCCTCAACACTTCGATCCACGTTGCTATCCTGCTAGTGAGGTCCATAAATACCACCACCCTGCCTATTTGTGGCACGAAGCAGTCGTCTGTTTCTATGTGAAGGGTGGGGCAGCCGTTGTAGAGTGCTATTGTAACTTCGACCTTATATATAAAGCTCGATGGCGGAAATTGCGTTGTGATATCTATTAGCAATCACTAAGCAACAAATGGGATGTTCGCACATCAGGTTTCTCTCGTATATCGACATATTTTGAGTAAATTAATAAAGCACCTATCTACCACAGCCCTATGCACGAAATGACGGACGCAAAAGCTGCTTACAAATCCGGCGAAATACCGGACAGCTCCATGCCTATAACGTTGGATAATATCAAAGCGAAACTCAAGGAGTCCGGCATCTTTGACTGGCAGGATGCGAGCTTAAACGACAGAGAGCGTAAGGAGTTAAGTAAGCTCTTTGATGCAGTGGAAATTATGGTGAGATTTTTTTTAGTTTTGCACACTTTTTCGTTCCACCAAACTGGTATTGTGTGATTACCGGAAACAATGAGGATGTCATCAGCCACCTTGAAATAAGATGTCGTAGTTTCAATTGTAATGTTGCTGTCTGGCCCATAATAGGCGAGGCGATAGTACCCATCCGGGCGGGCTTACAAGTCGCCCTAACACCAATAATTACACATCGGTTTAAGTCATCTGTGAGAACACGTGTTAGGCGTGTTAACACGTTCAGGCGACCATTGTGCTTAGTGCGAGTTTTTTAACGTTCTCGATAGCGTAAAAGTTAACTAAAATTTGTATGCAATTGGAACAGCGCCCCTTTTTCACTAGTGGTAGGACCTCTTGGGAGTCCGCACGGGTAGGTACCACCACCCCGCCTATTTCCGCCGTGAAGCGGTAATGCGTTTCGGTTTAAAGGGTGGGGTAGCCGATGTAACTATACTAAGACCTTAGAACTTATATCTCAAGGTGGGTAGCGCATTTACGTTATAGATGTCTATGGGCTCCAGTAACCACTTAACATCAGGTGGACTGTAGGTTCGTCCATTCATCTAAGCAATAAAAAAAAATTGCGGCAAACGTAAGTAAGCGTTTCAACTCCATACAAATTAGCGTTAACTTTTACGCTATCGGGAACGTTAAAAAACTCGAACTAAGCGCACAGAACGACTCTATCGACAACGTATTCACCTAAGAAATCGAATGTTACAGACTACATCTCGCAATCGACAGCCTCCGAACGTGCAAAACATGTTCTCTACCCTGCGGCTCGTCGAGAGAGTCGTTAAGAAGCAACTCAAAGAGGGACAGATATCCGAATCTTTAGCCGGGAAATTCCAATGGGAGAAACTGTGAGTAATTCAACTGTTATTTTGAGGGTTTTTTTTTATTGCCCTTGTAGACAGACGAGCATACGGCCCACCTGATGGTGAGTGGTTACCGTCGCCCACGGACTTCAGCAATGCCAAGGGCAGAGCCAAGCCGCTGCCTACCGCAATACAGATGGAGGCTATACCCTCACGTTTCGACATGGGAATCAGCACTGTGATTTTTTTCTACCTAAGCTGGTAAGCTTAGAATGTTATGCCACCGTAATCTGATGAGTAAGTGAGAGCTCACGGGGCTCTAACCAGAGGACGCTGCTAACACTAGCCCTAGCAAGAGCAGTGCTTCGCAGAATTTCAGACCGGATCGTAAACGCACTGAGAAAATCCGGCAAGAAACTCAGTGGGCTGTGTCTGCCTCTTAAAGTCTGCTCACGTGAGCTCATTTGGCACTAAATTTGCACTCAATCGATCCTGATTACATTCTTTAATGCTTCCAGATCTACACGTCAAAGGCGAGAGAGACCGCTGTACCATTTAGATAAATTCGCCAACGTCAGAATGTACAAGAACATTTCTTGAAACTTAAAATCATTATTTCATATTAATTAAATTTAATATTTTGTAATCTCCGTCCGAAACATTTGTTTTATTGTTGACAGCTCTAAAACTAATCGATTAGTGATGTTCTAGGGCGTTATCGATTCGATTTCTTATAACAATCGAATACTCTTATCGAAACTATTTAGCCACATTTTGGTATTTTGCTTTCCTTAACAAAATATCTACAATACTCTTTTTGGTTCAAATATTAATACACTGACTTTCACGGCAAATTTTCTGAGTGGGTCGCGTTTCCGATCCGATGGTAGATTTTGCGAAGCAATGCTCTTGCTAGAGCCAGTGTTAGCAAATTCTCTTAGGTTGAGCTCGTGAGCCTACCAGTCAGTGGTTACGAGTAGTTAGAATAGTCCCCTAGTCTACCAGCAAATAGGGAGGGGAAAACCTTAAAACACCGGAATAAATCTTTATTGAGCTGATGAGCACGTCAAACTATATACAAAATTGCATCTTTTGTTAATGGTTGTCAGATAACAATTATGGAAATTCATTAGGGTACTGTGAGATATCAAATCATATCCTAAACGCATTCGACACCTGTCATTCTGAAATGTAGCTATCTCGCTCTTGACTCAACTTCCTTCTTATCTTTTTGCTAAGTGTTCGGTTAAGTGGGCGCTCGTATTAAATGATGCTTATTGATTAATTAAGTGTTTTAATCCATACTAGTGGTCCCGCAGTACTCGAAATTCCACTATAATTCATTGAAATTATAAGTTTGAACGTTATTATGGTTCTATTGTCAAAGACTATTATGTCAAAGACTTCTATAATCACAGATTTCGTCAAGACTACACTATAGACAAATAAACAATATTAACCTGTTCTCAATTTGATCACATCCTAATAGAGCAACAAAAGTTTGACAATAAACATAGAGTATACATATGCGTGTGTGTCAAATACATGATAGTGTGTGTAACGTTTTTTTTTATTGATTTAATGTATTATTAATGCATAATTTAAAAAAAAAATACCATTCGGCACTCCTTCTCTATAAGTGTGGGAAATTTTATACTCCTCCGTCCGTGAAATTTTCGTAAAAAGGGGTACAAAGTTTTTGCTTCACGTATTAAAATATAGATAATAATAAGAAAAGTGCTTACGTCAAAAGTAATACATAATGATTGGATAGATTTTTTTGTATGATAAGCACAATTTATTTTCTTGCAAAAAAATATGTAATTACTGGTGGCAGGACGCCTTGTGGGTCCGCTCGTGTGTGTGTGTGTTTTTTTTTATTGCTTCGATGGGTGGACGAGCTCACAGCCCACCTGATGTTAAGTGGTTACTGGAGCCCATAAACATCTACAACGTAAATGCGCCACCCACCTTGAGATATAAGGTCTCAGTCTAGCTACAACGGCTGCCCCGCCCTTCAAGCCGAAACGCATTACTGCTTCACGGCAGAAATAGGCAGGGTGGTGATACCTACCCGCGCGGACTCACCAGAGGTCCTACCACCAGTATAAAAACGACGCAGCAGTGAAGCAACCGCTGTAGTACAAGCCTTGAGACATCGACCTCACGTCTCAAGGTGGAGCACGTACCTTCTCCTGGTGCGGCTGCTCGCTGAGGGCGTGGGCGCGGGAGGCGGCCAGCGAAGCCAGCTCCGACATGTTCACGTAGACTGCTTGCGGCATCTCTGCACATGGAATGATAACCACGCTACATTGCAGCTCTCTGACATTGACAATGTCCATTGGAGACAACAAAGAAAATAAAAACACAAGCGACCTAGTCAAAAACGTTCGTTTAAAAATAAATAAAGAAACGGTAGGCAACGGTAGGCTTGGCTCTGCTGAAGTCCATGGACAACGGTAACTACTGACCAACAGGTGGGCCGTATGCTCGTTTGTTTACAAGGGCAATAAAAAAAAAATCAGTTGTCTGTATAATCTGTTTACTGACGATAGTTGAACGTGACAACGTCATAAGAAAATACTGAGGGAATGGTTTAATTTTTCAATTATCGCAATTATCGTTGCTATAAACAATTGACACCACATTCACTTTTCACTGAACTTCATACTTGACGAAAACATGTAAATGTATTATTGTATAGCAGCTGTCCACGCGGATGCATCGCTCACTCAAGTAGGAGAGAGACAGATGTCGGACGCGGCCGAACGCGGGGGCCGATTGTGCCTCTTTGTCGCTCGTTGCGCGGTCTCGCTTGCACTTCAAGCCTTAAATGGAACGCCTCAGAGCGAGGTAACGCCGCATGAGTCATGTTTTTCGTGCGTGCAGCCGGCTCCATCGAATTATAAGACGTTGTCACGTCAAAAATAAAAACAACACCCTGTATATGTGCAGTAAGCAATAGAGACTTCGAAAGCCTTATACACCAGATGTTCTCTATCGACGAGGTTGGGAGTCGGACCGCTAGCTGTGCTATGGTTGAAGGTCATCAGATAAAGTTAGATAGAGACCCTTAGTGAGGTGCGGCGGTAGCGACGAAGGCTTGTTGTGCTTGAAGTCCTGCTGCGGAGAGTTCGCGTTGATCAGCTTCACCGGCACGCTGGGTCGCTCCAAGGATGAACATCTCTGAACAAACAAAAAAAAATATTTATTTTATGATTGAAGGATGTGGAGACTCGCTCACCCGCCACTACTTGGGCAACCGCCTTACAATTCGACAAAATCGCTGTCGCTTATGAATTTAGGCAATCATCCATTATTGTTGTTCAACACTTCGGCAATCTAGAAAAACTGAGGGCAGTACATATTGATATTCGCTGTGTTACCCATCGTTCGTGTCAGTGCCTTTATTACTCCTACATGTTCGTTCTTATGTTATAGTTTGTTTGTGTATATTTATAACTTCAATAAACTATTCAAATCGTGCCATCCTTCGTGCCAGCGCCTACCCAATATAGTTAGAAGCAGCACTACTACTACTGCATCTACAATTACTAGTGGCCCGAAGGTCTTTCCAGTTTCACCAGGACAGGTGGGCGAGCAAAGGCTCAGCCAGGAGGGGTGGGATTAGCTAACAGCTACCCGAGCGCCTCCGAAGGAGACCTATCAACTCAAGAGTGCCTTGCTTCGCGAATGAATCTACTACCGGATCGGAATCGCGACCCGCTGAGAAGATCCAGCGAGAAACTCAGCGGGCTGATGCATGGGTTAGGTTGCTCGTCGACCTCTTTGTCGAGTTCGACGAGTACGGTTACCGAGGTCCCTAAGCCTGCTCCTAGTGTTAGAGCTGAAGGCATGTCGATGATTTTTTAATTATTATAATAAGGAGTGTTTAAAAAAAACTAATTAATAGTTTAACAGCGGAATAGTTTTATTTTATTCGCCACAATCCCAATTCTACATAAATAGTAAGTAAATAACTCAAACAAATCACACACGGTCGTCCGGGTCCCAGTTTAAGATACCAGAGACTGCCAAACATACTTATATATTTTTAAATATATACATATATATAGACATTAAACACCCAGACAGAGAGCAAACAAATATGTTCATCACGCGAATGTTTTGCCCGATGCGGGAATCGAACCCACGACCCTTGGTGCAACAGTCAGGGCCGGTAACCACTGCATCTACGACTCAGTCATGTGGATATGGAGGATATGGATAAAAAATATCGATGCTTGAAAGGCAAACGTGACTAAGCGACAATAACTGCTTTATACATAAATGATAGGCAATAATATTTGATGCGCAAAAAATATATATTTCTAGGTCTATTAAAATCATTTCAATCCTACAGCTAGATTCGTTAAAATAAATTTTGTTTTCAGGTATTTCAACTTTAAATTAGTCTACTGTAAAGTTCACGCAATGTCACGTTTGCCTTTCAAGCGTCGATATGGTCAAAAGACAAAGAGATTGGGTACACTCACAGTGGGCAACGGTGGGCGAGCATAAATACCGCCTTCCCTCTGCTCGGCGTCCGAGGAGAACGTGTGTACGCTGAGAGCGGGACGAGGATGGTTCCTTTCGTAGGCTGAAACAAATTTGTTTATCCAAATCCAATCAAAACTGGTGGTAGGACCTCTTGAGAGGCTGCGCGGGTAGGTACCACCACCCTGCCTATTTCTGCCGTGAACCAGTAATTCGTTTCGGTTTGAAGAGTGGGGCAGCCGTTGTAACTATACTTGAGATCTTAGAACTTATATCTCAAGGTTGGTGGTGCTTTTACGTTATAGATGTCTATGGGCTCCAGTAACCACTTAACACCAGGTGGACTGTGAGCTCGTCCACCCATCTAAGCAATAAAAAAAAATATCCTTAAGGTTTAATTTCGCGTTTTTTTACCATCGTACCAAAATTAGTTCCAAAGTTTTGTAAACGTTTACAATTGTGGCCATAGTTATATGGCGTTTATTGGAGGTCCATCCTAAGAGTCTCAACCTTGGAATTGCGATGACGTTGTTAGAGATTCTTACCCACGCGAACCTGCGTGCTTTATTATCAGCTATATTTTCTTTTGTACGTCATCACCAACATTTCGATAACTTTACAGTTCTCCGATACTTGTACATTGTGTTGACGACTATCCTCTAATTATTAGATAACTTTGTCCCTTTATATCAGTATAATATATGTCGACGCAAGTCCATGATAATTGACAAATTAATTGTTCCGATTATAAAATCAATCATTGTGTCAAATAAATTGATTGTGTTTAGTTATTAATTAGTGTTATGATTCTTGGAATGTGTTTTGCGTTAGAATAAAACCTAAAATTAATTGATGAAATTATTATGAGTTGTTTAACAGTTGAAACATTCGTCGCCATTTGTAGACCGGATGTTTCAACTGAAATTAAGATTTAAAAATTAATTCAATTGTTGATAATTACTTTCGAAATATTAGATTAATTTACGAATTATTTTTGTAATTAAAATTAGTAATTTAAAGAAGTTGCAATTTAAATGGTGTGTTGACGTTTTCCCGCCCGACACCATATTTTAGTTTTTAATTTCGTTGGCGCACGAAATTACGATAGACGGAATGTTAAAACTGAAAACACTTTTTGTTCGAGCGCCGGGCGGTGAAGACGTGGTGAGCTGGTGTATTATAATTAATATCTTGTGAGTACCTACCTATTGTTTTATTATAATTGTGATTTACAAAACTATTACTTTGAGAACTCTCAAGTGTCTTTTAAAATAAATTGTGTTTCTGGTTGTGTTTTGTTGTTTGCGATGAGTGCGCCGAATAGTGAAGGCAGTGACGTTAGCAATGCTGACGTCACTGCTTTTAAAGGTTCCACTGGACCAAACCCTTCGTCATATATAATATAAAGGGACAAAGTTATCCATCGGTCTCTTTCACTCCGTCCCCTTCCTCTTAAACAAAACTTTATCCGATGTTTTAAAAAAAAAACGCATTTTTTTGATGCGAAAGGTGCTAATTATACATTATATTTACCGGCCGATATGGTGTGGGGTCGACCCCCCATGATGGCGGAGGCGGCTCGCTCAAACTGCGCCGTGTCCTTTAGATCTGGCCACGTTGCCGACGCTGAACAATGAAAACATGAGTCTATGAGATTTTTAACCCAACGACTCGATTAACTTTATATTCCCCTAGTAAATAATTTGTTAAGATAAATAAATATATTTGGATATATTTTTTACAATCGAACGTGTGTTTTTCTATAACCTTGAATATTATGTATGTGTATTCAGAAACCCTTGCGTAAATCACTTTTTGTAACATATTGTAACGCCGGTAAGAGTAACGGCATCTATCGCCGAATAGTCGAACGAATAGCGAAGGATCTAGTAGCACCTAGAAGGCTCGAGAAGTACAACGCCATCTATCGTCAGATAGCGGAAACAAAACGAATGTACTCGACTTGTGAGGAATGTTCTCGACGATTCTAGGGATGTCGTATCGACTATAAAAGCGTTGCAGAGATGACACACAGTTAGTAATCGCACACATTTATAATCGGAACTACTCGAAGCGAAACAGCCAACGGATTACCTGAAGTGAAGCGGAAGAAGTGAATTAGGAATTTTAAAGTGTTCTGTGAGTGTTCTAAGTGATAAATACAGTTTTAAGTTGTACTGTGGCGGATCATTTATTAACAATACCAAACCTTATACGGAAGGCTATACTGACTAGCCAACATCTGTTATTTATACACTAGCAATTCTCTTTGACAAAAACCAAATACCAGTACAATGACAAAATGAAGCATAGCACAGCATAGAACTCCGAAAAACGAAACGATAATCAAAAAACATGTTTCACAATGTATAGTTTTAACAATTTGGTATTTTAGCACCGCGCAATGTAATGAACAGAATGCTTGGGGTCAACGACCGTTACGCTGAACATAAGTAAGGTACTATTGATCGTTAACGCGAGTTCAATGACTCGAGAGAGCCGGTGATTATCTTATCAATATACAATAGCCGAACATAGCATTTACAATAATATATACATATAAAATATGCAAGGGCAAAATACAATTTTCTTATGTTTGTCAGCTGATCTTCATATTTTTTGGAGTTTACTCCTTTAGAATCGATTTACATATATAGGCCCGGGGTATGAAAATTATGGGGACCAAAATCGTACTAGCATGTCACACGAAATGCGTTATGCGCCTGATTGGCTCCTGATTGCGTGATGCGTGCGCGCGCCAATCAGGAGCCAACGCGCGGCCGCGTTATCGCAGGTGACGCCGGGCTGCTGCGCCGGCAGTCCGCCACAAAGCCTCGTACTGATCGCGCGTTTCTCTCATTATTGTATTTTCATATATTTGTTAGTCGTTTGTTTTGTGTCTCGTTAATTTGTTAATAATCTGTAGTGTATCGTGTTGTCGTAATATAGAACTATTTCTCGTATTGTTTCGTTTAATTTTTTATATCCAGTAAACTCCAGTCGTGCGTCGGAGCGGACACACACACTTTTTTTTTTGAATGGTAACTACTAACAAACTTCACTGTTATCTTATTAATCACAAAAAAATTGTACCATTAGCCCTCATTCTGCCAATTATAGATAATTGAACATGACATTTTTTTTTTATTGCCCTTGTAGGCAGACGAGCATACGGCCCACCTGATGGTAAGTGGTTACCGTCTCCCATGGACTTCAGCAATGTCAGGGGCAGAGCCAAGCCGCTGCCTACCGCTACCTACATACGTAAAATGAATCGAGTCTTAAGGTCTCAGTGATTAAGGTCGAATTTCCGTCACATGACCAGCCATAATTATCCTTTAAAAACCACATATCTAACCTGCATTGGCGACATCGTGTGTGCTGTCGTCCTTGTCTTCATCTTCCAGAGCACCCTTCGCCGGCGTCAGACACTCGCTGCTAACGCTTTGATTGTCAGATCCCTGCCGATAGTAAAACTGTTTTCGAAATCAACAAACTTAATACAAACAGGGACATATCTGGAGAGATCTCAAGAGCACAATTCCTGAACCGCGCTAACGATATTTGCAATTTTTCGTTACTAACGAAGATCGGCGAAGGATATCTCGTACCACCTGGTGTTAAGTGTTTCTCATAAAAGGACCCCTCTCTTCATCTAGACCAAAAATGCTGTAATGTCTATGGGCTCCGGTAACCACTTAACACCAGATGGGCTGTGAGCTCGTCCATCTATATATGTAATAAAAAAAATGGAAGGTAGTCCCGTTTGCGTTAATTTTTATTACTGTACATCGGGAGACGAGCTCTCAGTCCATCTGGTATTAATCCATACATACATCGCAATACATGTTCAAAGATACCGTTACGTACTAACATACGTATGAAGCTAATAAAAACGTATTAATAAAATAAAATAAAATAAAAAATCTTACACTATTTTTAATTGAAATTTATTAAAATTTATTTTCAATTTTTTAGTTGGATTTTCTATAAAAGCGTATTTTGTTAGTTTATTTTTAACTATTATTTATTGTTCATTTTTTAGTTGATTTTCCTATTTTTCAATATTTTTTTGAAATTGAATTATCATCGGTCCTTAATAAGTATACTAAATTTCGAGTTAATCCGACGTTTTGGAGGGAGTCAAAATCATGTTCAAAGATTCCGTTACAAACATACATACTAACTAAACATACATACGTCTGAAGCTAATAAAAGCGTATAAATAAAAAAATAAAAACAATAAATTTACATTGTCGACGTAGAGCGAACGTCGTTGTAAAGCGTCCTGGGAACGGAATCCGGAGTCGGCGCTGCACACGCTCGACAAACGTGCCGTCGACTGTGTACCCGCGGTGAGAAAACAAAAACCAAAAAAAAAAAAAAAAAAACAAACTACATACAAAACAGAAAAAAAATATTACAACAAAACAAACTACATATAACACACAAAAAAAATATTACAAAAACGTACAATAATTCATTTGAATATAAACTAAAAAAAAACATAAATAAAATGAAAAGAAATCAGATACATGAAGTCGGATGTCGTGATTTATTAGGCTTCCGAAAAACAGATACTTTTAAAACTATTTCGTTTTAACATATTATTAAGTACTAAGGACAAAAAGAACCACAAAGGAATTTTGTTACCGATGATACTTTGCCAAAGGTTGAATTTCGATCTTGATGTATTTCTGATTTCGAGAATTTTCTAACCGACACGCCAAAACGTTTTATTAAATGTCTATTAATTTCTTAAATTCTTCTATTTTCGAGAAAAAAACAACATTATTTCTAAAACATGAACTAACTAGGATTTAGTGTCTTTTAAAATGCCAAAAAAAACTATCAATTCTCGACCTGATTCGTAGGGTCTATTAAATTTTAAAAATATCACTTTTTGAAGCTGATTCACTTTTTTGTTATTTTCGAAGCTGATCATTTCTTAAACTTTTTCTTATAACACTAATTAACTAAAAAATTACGTTGTAAAAATCCGACGACACTTATAATAAATACAGTGGATCTAAAAGTATCCGTAAGTAAATTCCGTTTTAGAACCAAGCCGTTTGTCTCATTTTAGTGTCGCATCGTTTCATCGGATACCAAATTTAAAACAAAAATATTTTCGCTTCTACAATTCAAAACAGACCCTTATGAATCTCAAGTCGAAAATGACTAACCACATATAACTACCAAAAACATTACATCTCACTATGTAAAAACATAAAATCAAAGGTCAACTTTTTCGATGCCTGTGAGCGAGAGAAAGAGACAGGTAGATCTATATCCGTCCCTTTTTATCACGAAAACATTCCATCGGTTTGCATTTAAAAACTTAGCTCTCACCGCATCCAAAAAAGATTGCTCTACACTCACCCTCAAAACAAGCAACATACCTGGGACAGCTGATCGCTGTTGTTGTGTCCGGGCATTGTACCGGACGACGCATTGGATATCGGGGTGGAACAGCTCACCGTCGATCCTGAGACGCCTATTTAATGAACACGTATACACATTCACGAGTACCAGAAGTTTCGGAGCTTAGCCCTTCTAAGCCTGCCGTGTAGGTCACCGGTACCTTACATGGCGCACTGAAGTAAACATGTCATTACGGATCCTTCCGATCCATTAACAGTGCTTTAGTCCTCGCCGAACCCGTCGTTTGCGACTAAGGGCTCGACGAGCGAATTAACCCATAGATACAGCCCACTGAGTTTCTCGCCGGATCTTCTCAGTTGGTCGCGTTTCCTATCCGGTGGTAGATGCGAAGCACTGCTCTTACTAGGGCCAGTATTAGTAACGCTTCCGGTTTGAGCCCCGTGAGCTCACCTACATGTTAGGGTGTAGCTGAAATGGCCTCTCAAGGCTATCAGCATACATAGGAAAAACAAAGAAGTAACTATGTCGATTTCTCTCTTAGCTATATTCGTTTAAACGCAAAAGACTTCGATTCCGTATTCCGACATGCGCTGCTTCAAGATGCTCTGTGCTTCTCGGGAGAAGACATAACATTGGGTAATGTCGAGCAATGTCAAAAAAAACAGTTATTCTTTTATAATGTAAATTTGGGCGAGGATACGACCTATCTGATGGTAGGAAGTTACCTATCCTCGCTCGGAAACCTCTGCTATGCCATTATTCTAAAACTTTTTGGTGTTTTTTTTCGATCTACTTATTGTACATGTCATTTACACCATAAGCCATAGACGAATGTCTGGTACTAAAACAAAAAAAACCGCGTCCTAGGTACTCAAATTGAAAAACCCCTCAAAGACATCTGCCATGCCATAACATTATTTCTTAAACTTTTTTTCGATCTACTCATTGTACATGTCATTTAGACCATAAGCCATAGAGGAATGTCCGATATTAAAACAAAGAAAACCGCGTCCTAGGTACTTAGATTGAGAAACCCCTCAAAGACATCTGTCATGCCATAATATTATTCCTCAAACTATCTGTCAATCTACTCATTGAACACTTCATTTACACCATAAGCCATAGAGGAGAAAATCCGGTATTAAAATAAAGAAAACCGCGTCCTAGGTACTTTGATTGAGAAATCCCTCAAAGACATCTTCCATGCCATTTTGTCAACGTTTTCAGACCATAAGCCATAAAGGAATATTGGGCATTAAAACAAAGATAGCCACGTCTTAGCTTGAAAGACGAGGACTAGAACATTCCACACGGATTACTGACCGTGATGTTCGGAGCAGTGACTGTTTAGTGACGAGATAGACGTGAGACTTGACTTGCGGCTGCCGTGACGGGACGAGGAGGGCGAGTGAGGGGCCGACTGGCACTCCCAGCCGCTCGCACACGACTTGACGTCGCAAATAACCTTACAAACAAATTCACAGTTATACCCTATCTTGTGTGCTTAGTACGAGTGTTTTAACGTTCTCGATCGCGTAAAAGTTAACTCTAAGATAGGAGATAAGAGTTCTAGGGTCTCAGAACGCATACTGCTTCACGGCAGAAATAGGCAGGGTGGTGGTAACTACCCGTGCGGACTCACAAGAGGTCCTACCACCAGTAATTACGCAAATTATAATTTTGCAGGTTTGGTTATTCCTTCATCGTAAACATTTGTTAAGTACGTAATTCTTTTTTTAATTTTTTATTGCTTAGATGTGTGGACGAGCTCACAGCCTACCTGGGGTTAAGTGGTTACTGAAGCCCATAGACATCCAAAACTTAAATGCGCCACCCACCTTGAGATATAAGTTCTAAGGTCTCAAGTATAGTTACAACGGCTGCCCCACCCTTCAAACCGAAACGCATTACTGCTTCACGGCAGAAATACGCAGGGTGATGGTACCTACCCGTGCGTACTCACAAGAGGTCCTACCACCAGTAATTACGCAAATTATAATTTTGTAGGTTTGGTTATTCCTACATCATGAACATTTGTTATCCTTTAGGCCACAGCTTCTAAATGCCGACAATGACGACTCGTATGCAGTTAGACCAGCGCCCCTAGCGATTCCAACTACATACAGATTTAAGTTAACTTTCACGCGATCGAGAACGTTAAAAAACTCGCACTAAGCACATCGATCTGGTTTGCTTGTTTCAGTGATAGGATTCAAATGCTTTACTTGTAAACTAGCCGCCGGCAAGGTTCTCGGTTCGGCGGTGTGTCGTATTAGCTGATCGTTTCCCTCTTGAAGGTGACCGAGCTCCGCTAGCATTGCCACTTCACACTCCTGAAATAAAACAATTGGATTCTTGCTTTTTTTAAGGGATTTTACGACCTGGTAACTAAGACCTTTAAGTCAAGACTTATTTCAATTTATATTCTTATTTTTATGAAAAATTATAATATGGAGTGAAATAAAATGAAATGACATGATATGATATGGGATGAAATATAATCTCAGTAAAATGGTGGTCATTTACTGAGATTTTTTCAGTGGACTTTTTGGAGGATCCCGAGAAGTTACGTCCAGCGGCTTTGTTTCATTTTCCCACATTTGTGCACTTTCACAGATATTAAACAGCTAAATAACCACCGTTATTACACATTTAAGCCTGAAGAAGCACTAAATAGACAAAATAAAACAAATCACACAACTTCACTCCTCGCGTTCCCGCCAAAAAGTCCATTAAATTCTCGCTTCGATTCATGAACATAGAGCTGTAGAGGTTTAGCGTATAGATCCGTCCATTACCACCACAGGGTTGAGCAGCGACACGAAGTGACAGAAGCGGCTCCGTTCCTCGATCAAGGCTGCCTTAACAGCCTTCTCTTCCATTTCTTCCAATTGCTGCTTGCGTTCTTGAACGTCCTGTAATTTAAAGAAATCAGTCAATGTCAACTATTTTTAATATTGCATCATCGTTGATTCTTCTTCGAAACGCATAAAGTTGTGGGTTTTACTCTAGCCACGGTTACGCTGAAATAGCCCCTAAGGCTATCAGCTTAGGTAGGAAAGAAGAAAAAAAAAAAANAAAAAAAAAAAAAAAAAAAAAAAGTGGGTTTTACAGTAGTAGTTGTTTTAATCTAGTATATGGATGGTAGAGGTATGTAGAACAGTATCTGTGTGTGAAAAAGTGTCCGTTAAAATCTGCTAAATAAGGGTGGCGCTACAGTAGCAACCGGGTAAATTTTAAAAAGGCGCTGAAAGTTATTAGAAGAAGACAGAGAAATAAAAAAGGACGAAAGAACTGTAAGCACTACAAAATCACAAAAAGTATTTTATTTAAAGCTGATAAGAAAATTCAATCGATGTCGTCACGTTTTACCACAGCAATAATTTTAAGTTATATTGACGAAATTAGTTTCGACTACATAAACATGTCATTAAATATATTAAATTTCCAAACTCAGCATACTTCAATCAGGTAACAACTGCTCAATTCATATCATACCCTGTGCCTATGCTAGCGCCATTCTGGAGGATTTTTGAACTGTTATTTAGAACACTTTTTCAAGCCGTCCTCCTTACCTCTATCCTCCATAATCTAGTACTACATTCCTCTGAAACTAGCTCCCTTCTAGATCCAAAATGTCTCCTTCTTATTCCCTAGGGTCATTAATGAAACAAACTAAATAATCTAACAAAGAGTAACAAAGAGTAGCCCTTTTAATAGCATGCAATAGTGAGATTTCTTTTAGATAAAAATATAAGTAGAACAATAATTCGATTATAAATTCGTTTGTGAAAGCAAACTAAACCGGCCTGTGAATCGCTCTACAATATGTAGACTCTGGCACATTAGAATGATGTGACACAACGCATCTCTATGTATACTTGATGTCGACTCTTAGTTTGAAGATGCAGATGCAGACTATACACAACAGTGCGCTTAGTGCGAGTTTTTTAACGTTCTCGACAGCGTAAAAGTTAGCTCATATTTGTATGGAATGGGATCGTTTGCGTACGTTTGACGCTAGGGGCAAAAGGGGGCGCTGTTCCAACTGCATACAAAATTTGCTTAACTTTTACGCTATCAATAACTTTAAGAAACTTGCACTAAGCACACTGGAGCTTCATCAGGAGTCCCCAAGAGCCAATACTTTATTGTAATTTTTTTATTGCATAGATGGGTGGACGAGTTCACAGCCCACCTGGTGTTAAGTGGTAACTGGAGCCTATGAACATCTTCAACGTAAATGCGCCACCCACCTTGAGATATAAGTTCTAAGATCTCAGTATAGTTACAACGGCTGCCCCACCCTTCAAACCAAAACGGATTGTAGGGACACAGTTTAGCAGCGTATGCAGTTTTGTACATCGCTTGCATTTGGTCAGTCGTACATAGCCCACCCGACACGGCTGACACTTGTGAATATACGGAGTTAAATTGGAACCAACTTGTTTTATTAATAAAGGGCAGTTTACACCCTTTACTCTTGCATGAGCAATCGTACACGCATTACTGCTTCACGGCCGAAATAGGCAGGGCGGTGGTACGTACCCGCGCGGACTCACAAAAGGTCCTGCCACCAGTAAAATTATCGCCTCTTTATTTGATAAGAAATGACGTCACCTGCATGCAAACGTCGGCCCTTCGTTTAGCGTCGGGCGGTGCTCTCCTGGCTTTCCTGGCGTGGCGCTGCGCTTCCGTCATCCTCCTCCTGAGTTCTGCTCGAGCGCGTTTGCATTCCCTCGCGTGGTCGCGGCTCAGGGCACCCGTGGCGCAGCCGCCGCGCCGCCAATCATCCGCGCGTTCAGACAGCGGTGTTATCATGGTCTCCATAAGAGCACTGTAATGACATAACAATCAAATCGAATTATTTTACTTTTTGGCGAGAACTCGAGGGGTGAATTTTTTATTTTTATTGCTTAGATGGGTGGACGAGCTCACAGCCCACCTGGTGTTAAGTGGTTACTGGAGCCCATAGACATCTACGACGTAAATGCGCCACCCACCTTGAGATATCAGTTCTAAGGTCTCAAGTATAGTTACAACGGCTGCCCTACCCTTCAAGTTGTCTACCTAACCTGAAGTTGTGTCATTTTGCATATTTAGTATTTCTTCAGGTTTAAATGTGAAAAAATCTCAGTAACTAACCACCATTTCACTCTATATTATCATTTTTCATAAAAATAAGAATATAAATTAAAATAAGATATGACTTAAAGGTCTTAGTTACCAGGTCATAAAATCCCTTAACAAAATCGAATATTTTTAACACGTTGACTGCGAGACTATATGTAGGATTTTTAGCCAGTGCGTATGAGGTCTTTCCAAGGCAACATTGGCATCAAAAATGTTTTCGAATATACCCATACTTTTAGAAATTTGGACTTTTTTCGAATATACCCATACTTTTAGAAATTTGGACTTGTCGCCTTACGCACCAAGCGAAAAGTTTTGACTGCGGCATCAGGGAATAGTCGGTTGTGGGGTTTTTAGGTCGTATAACGCAGCTAACGCGTTAAAACATCACAACTAAACTACCGAAATGAATAAGTGAGATCTTCATCCTGTGTGCTCAGTGCAAGTTTTTTAACTTTTCGATCGCGTTAAAGTTAACTCAAATTAAAGTATGAAGTTGGAATGTTTGTCGCTAAGGGCGCGGTTCCAACTACTACGTACTAAGCACACTGGTTCAAGTTGAAGGTTTTTTTATATCTTTATTAGTTTCGTAGACAGACGATCCTACCTGATGATGGTGAGTAATTACAGTTATTCATCTATGTCAGCACTACCAATATCTATATATCTATATACGTGAAGCAAAAACTTTATACCCCTTTTTTTACGAAAATTGCGCGGATGGAGGAGTATGAAATTTCCCACACTTATAGAGAAAGAGTGCAGAATGCTAATATTTTTTAAAAATTATGCATTAATAATAGGTTGAATCAATAAAAAAAACATTACACACACTACCCTGTATTTGAAATATAAAACACATTTAAAAACTCTTTGTTTATTGTCAAACTTTGGTTATTGCTTAATGTCTGTGGTCAAATTGAGAATAGGTTATTATTGTTTATCTTTAATATTATTTGTCTATAGTGTAGCCTTGGCGAAATCTGCCACAAATAAGTCTTTGACAATAGAACCATAATAATGTTCAAACTTATAATTTCAATTAATTATAGTCGAATTTCGACTACTGCGGGATCGCTAGTATTGACAAAATTCTGACCTGATTTCCTTCGAAATATAAATAAATAAATAAATATTTACTAACAATCACGCCACGTTAACTGGTCCCGTGATAAGTTCGTAAAGAACTTGTGTTACAGGTACCAGATAACGGAAATAAATGTAAGACTTTTTATTATACATATACATATATTTTTTAACATACATCCATAACCCTGGAAAAGACATTTATAATTACCATACAAATATCTTCCCTTGGCGGGATTCGAACCCGCGACCCCCTTGTGTAGTGACCATGTCACTTACCACTACACCAGACGGCCGTTCAAATGTCACTGTATTGATAATTAAATGTATACATTTAATTTTTTTATGAGCGAATTCCTACATAGAACTTCTCGAGGTTTACAATCCTTCATAATAATCATTCACTGTGTGAAAACTCGTATAGACTATGTCTAACAATAAGTTCCTTTGGCATAATAATCATTAAATCATAAAAGCTCGTATGTACCACACCCAACAAGGATATACAATGACTTACAATGTCATAGAATTATTAAAACGCGAACTATTATCGAGTTGCAAACGCTTTTGTTCGTTTATTTCAAATACTAAGAGGAAAATCTCAATTAAATTCACATTTTATATATTTCATTCAAAATTTTATTATTCTGAATACAAAATATAAGGAAGCATGATGTCACAATTCACCGCATCAATAAATCATCATTTCTGCCGTGAAGCAGTAATGTGTTTCGGTTTGATGGGTGGGGCAGCCGTTGTAACTATACTGAGACCTTAGAACTTATCTCAAGGTGGGTGGCGCATTTACGTTATAGATGTCTATGGGCTCCAGTAACCACTTAACACCAGGTGGGCTTTAAGCTCGTCCACCCATTTAAGCAATAAAAAAAAAAGAAGAAGATATGTATATAGCATATAGGAGGATGACAAAATATTACATGCTTTTATTAGCCGCAATCTGTTAGGAATGCTTTAAAGATTTCTTCGCTACCTCATAGAGCTGCCCTTTATGACAAGAGTTTTTTTAGTATGTCAACAAGAATATATAATAAACTATATATATAAAAGAAAGTCGTGTTAGTTATACTATTTATAACTCAAGAATGGCTGAACTGATTTGGCTGTAAATTGGTGAGGAGGTAGCTTAGAACCAGGAGAAGGACATAGGATACTTTTTATCACGTTCCCATTGCAACGTGTCATAAAACGTGATATAACAAAACGCAACTGATATGGAATAACAAAACGCAACTGACAGCTAAACGTAATATATTCTATGGTTAATTATCGTAGAATTTTGAAGTTGACGTGTCCAAAGAAACAGTGTGGCGGAACAAAGTTCGCCGGGTCCGCTAGTAAGCTATAAAAATTTTGAAGACAGTAAATTTACAAGATTTTAAGCAAAAACTGCAAGTATTTTTATTACATAAGGCTTACTATACTATGTCAGAATATTTAAACGATAACATTAGATAATTTAGATGATAATGTAGAATAGAGTTAAATAATTATAATTTAAGTTTAATGCTTTTAGGTAGATTATACTTACACCTAATATTTGTACGCTTTACTAGCAAGACATAGTGATACATTTATTAATACTAGAGGTCCCGCAGTAGTCGAAATTCGACTATAATTAATTGGAATTGTAAGTTTGTAAACTATTGATTGTATTTTATACTTCTATAATCACAAATTTCGTCAAGGCTACTCTATAAAAAAATTTAATAAAGACAAATAATATATTTCATCTATTCTCAATTTGACCACAGACGTCAAGAATAAAAGTTTGACAGTAAATATGCAAGTATGCATGCGTGTGTGCGTCAAATACATGGTATGTAGTGTGTGTAATGTTTTCTTTATTGATTTAATGTACCTTTTATGCATTATTTTAAAAAAATATAATGGTAATTACGGTATTTAAATAAGAAAAGACGACATTGCGTTTCTTCTAAACAACAAGAAACAACATTTAATGCCCTTTCTTCAATAATTCTTTAACACACATTTCACAACGTCCATTAACCGAAAAATTATTTAAACAACTATCAATTGTCATATGACAGATTGACATTCAATCATTCATTACATCTCCCCCGCTGAAAAGACAATTGTAAGAGGCAGTGAATGGTTTTACAATTGTTCAACACATCAGATAGACACTGGAGACAACTTTGTTATATGGTAGAGGTTTGATTCTGCTTTTTTGTGTCCGGTGTCAACTTCATAGATCGATTCTGAAATCTTCTTTAGTATTTTGTATGGCCCTGTTCTCAATTCATCCATTTTTTTCCTGTTTAGTTTATTTCCATTCTCCACATAAACACTATCTCCTTCTTCCAATTTATACCCTTCTNCACTAGCATTTTCTAAGAAGTTCTTCAAAATTTCAATTTTTTGTTTATCCTCGTTTATTTGAAAACGTTCACATTCTTTATTAAAATCTTTGATCCACTGTAATGCATTTGAATTACGGCCGTTGAATTTTTCTATAATAAAATCCTTTGCAATTTTCCCTAAATTTTGTTTTTCTGGTTTCTGCTGTTTTTGTTCTTGTAGCTTTTCTAACAGTTTTTCAAGCATGTGATTATAATCACTAGATGTCGATTCATAACTAACAGGTTGTTCTGAAATCTCTTCCAAATAACAATCATTGAATTGCAAATTTTGTTCTTCATCCAAATATGTTTTTGAAATTTCCTCCGTCACAGTTATCCATATTTTCCTCGTTTGATGCGTTTTTACTAAAGAGTTTTTTACTCTAGTGTAGTTAGGAGTAGTTGTGATCACCTTATGAAGATTTACGGGTTGATATTCGACTGAAATTCCAAAAACTTGTCCACTTGGTGTAGCAATGGAAGTTATGCATATGACGTTTGTTTTTCCATCCGCCATTGATTTCATTGTAAAATCAAATCTTAATTTCTCCATTTTCTCAAGATATTAGCAAAAATGTTGTTTTATAATGGTAATTACGGTATTTAAATAAGAAAAGACGAAATTGCGTTTCTTCTAAACAACAAGAAACAACATTTAATGCCCTTTCTTCAATAATTCTTTAACACACATTTCACAACGTCCATTAACCGAAAAATTCTTTAAACAACTATCAATTGTCATATGACAGATTGACATTCAGTCATTCATTACAAAAATATTAGCATTGTGCACTCCTTCTCTATATTCTCTATAAGTGTGGAAAATTTCATACTCCTCCGTCCGCGCAATTTTCGTAAAAAGGGATACAAAGTTTTTGCTTCACGTATTAATATATAGATTAAGCACCATCTTTGTTAACCTATGACCACAAATAATAATAAAATAAAAAAGCACATGCAAATAAATATATGTATGTCGTAGCACATACATATTATGTATATTTACACATCATATGTGTTGTTGTGTTGTGTGCATGTCGTTCACATTTATTGATATTCTATTACTACGTCGCTATGCTTCTGGTCGTGATCTTGGTTGGCGTGTGTTTAATTAACAACTAGAGGATGACCGAGCTTTGCTAGTTATATTTTTTTTTTTGATAAATTGTTGTTTGAGATTTTGATATTATATTACTTGTTACTTTCTTTCAATAAATTTTTTTTATGTTTAAGTTGATTATATCGATAAAGTTGATTATTGAAAACACGAATAAAACAACATTTTCTGAAAATAAATCGTAGCTAGATCGATTTATCGCCCCCGAAATCGCCCTGTATACTAAACTTCATGAAAATCGTTGGAGCCGTTTCCGAGATTCAGATTATATATATATTTACATAGTATAAAACAAAGTCGCTTTCTCTGTCCCTATATCTGTCTGTCGCTATGTATGCTTAAATCTTTAAAACTACGCTACGGATTTTGATGCGGTTTTTTTTAATAGATAGGGTGATTGGAGAGGAAGGTTTATATGTATAATAACATCCATTAAATAGTGGAGAAATCAATAATAAATTACAGCTTCCGAAGCGAAGCGAGGGCGGGTTGCTAGTATATTTATGTACAAGAATTGCTCGTTTAAAGATATAAGATTTCACAGACCTACTTCAGTCCACTTCACGGGAGACCTACCACGGTCTGACAGCCTATGTCTTGCAGTGGTACATGTACCACCAGGCGCCCGATCGAAAGATCCCCATGACGCGACATTACATTAGTTGGTATTCATAATTACGGTCAGTCTCCCGGGTATTTCGCTATCGCGATCGGTCTTTAGCTATGCACCTAACTTAGGATCAGATTGGCCAGATTATCTTCGTCTCCACTGCCACAACTCGACACTACGTCTGCTTCGGACGAGCTACTTTTCGCTTGGAGCTGTCTACTCCAGTATTTGCCTCGGGATGTGTTTAAGCTCTCTCCTAAGAGTATGGTCTATTCTACGGCACGCTTCTCACAAGCGTTCGTTGGTATTACCTAGTATTCTTTGGTTTCTAGAACCCAGAGAATTTAGAAAGAACGCATAAGTGTTTCGCGACAGAGGCAGACGGAATGGTGATACCCACTGGTGGGAATCTACACTATCACCAATAAATGATTGATATTGATGCATTGATGAAATTGATGATCGCAGCGTGGTGGTACGATAAAAAAAGAACGCTGATGGCTATTCCACGCTTACAGGCCTAGTCGCCTATTGCGACACCCATAAAACTACATATATGGTATGGTGTGTCAACATCACCCAACTAACTTGTCCGTTTATACCCCGAAAATATATTCTAAGATCATATTTGAATTTTTTATTTTATTGCTTAGATGGATGGACGAGCTCACAGCCCACCTGGTGTTAAGTGGTTACTGGAGCCCATAGACATTTACAACGTAAATGCGCCACCCACCTTGAGATATAAGTTCTAAGATCTCAGTATAGTTACAACGGCTACCCTACCCTTCAGACCGAAACACATTACTGCTTCACGGCAGAAATAGGCAGGGCGGTGGTACTTACCCGCACGGACTCACAAGAGGTCCTACCACCAGTTGAATCCAATAAAACTAATAACAACGTATTCTGTACCTTATGAAAGTCTTCATTCTGGTTTCGATGGCGCGATGTCGAAGGCACACCCGCGTCAGGGCTGTGCCGATCTCCTTCGTTGCACCTGAAATAAGTAAATAAACAAAAATAAATATTAAAATCTTACTTTCCTTGTATTGCTTTGTTAAGTGACCCAGATGACAGCCCTGTGGGTGTTAATTAGTTACCGACACCCATAGAAACACAACTAGATAGCAACTACATAACAGTTGGAAGACAACGCATTTTGAAGATTAATCGTAATATGAACGAGGAAAGTTCATTCTTGAGCCGAATGGTACGCGGCAAGTGTGACGGGTAGCCATCATACAACGCAAGATATTTGACAGATGCCTGAATCTCGCTTACGACATTTTCAAGATAAGCTTGCATATATACACGTTCCGAACAACAGCATTGGGACCGTCGGTCTACCGAGCAAATATCACCCGTTCGGTGGAAGATCTTCCATTTTTCGTTTAAGCCTCCTAAACTGGACATCCAGTAATCCATAAGCGAGATTCAGGCATCTGTCAAATATCTTGCGTTGTATGATGAGTCCATTTATTCTAACGCCTCCTTTCCAGTTTTCTAAAGTCTGGCGCATTATATATTGCCCAATTATATATATATTTACATCCTACAAACCTATATTTAAGAGAATAGGTGAGATAACACATCCTTGCCGGACTCCTTTTTGGAAACGAAATTTACTTGAAGTGGAATTTTCGATAGAGACAGACCCAACCCCCGACTCGTACAGGTTGCGAATCAACATAATAAGATGACCCGGAACTCTTGTTTCACTTAGAATCTCCGACAGTTTATCCCATTTCATGCCACAGCCAGAACAATATCTGGAACGAACAGTTGGTCAAGGCAGTTTGTTCTGGCTAGTATGGACGTACTCTGCTCCGATGGAAGGCGGTGCGAGAAATTAGAAGACAGCATCATCTCCAATAGTTCTTCAAAGCACTCAGACACTAAACACAGACTTGATGTTTTTGTAGCCGTTTGTAACGAAGGGAAGCTGTTCCAACTCCATACAAATTTGAGTTAACTTTTACGCGATCGAGAAGTTAAAAACCTCGCACTAAGCTCACTGTGGGGAAGCTGTTCCAATTCCATAAAAATTTGAGTTAACTTTTACGCGATCGAGAAGTTAAAAACCTCGCACTAAGCTCACTGTGGGGAAGCTGTTCCAACTCCATACAAATTTGAGTTAACTTTTACGCGATCGAGAAGTTAAAAACCTCGCACTAAGCTCACTGTGGGGAAGCTGTTCCAATTCCATAAAAATTTGAGTTAACTTTTACGCGATCGAGAAGTTAAAAACCTCGCACTGAGCTCACTGTGGGGAAGCTGTTCCAATTCCATAAAAATTTAAGTTAACTTTTACGCGATCGAGAAGTTAAAAACCTCGCACTAAGCACACTGTGGGGAAGCTGTTCCAATGCCATACAAATTTGAGTTAACTTTTACGCGATCGAGAAGTTAAAAACTCGCAGTAAGCACACAAAACGGATTACACGACGAAAGTAGTAATTATTAAATCGCGTCACAACAAATACTTATCGCTACAGTACACTATCGATTACATAAACAATCACCCACATTATCGCAAGCAAAACATTGACACGCAATTACCTCCTTTGCTCAACGGGGTTTCCCCGTTACTGAGAAAACATAACAATCAAATATGAGCCTTAAGACGTTTGAATTAGAAATAAAATTGCTCTGTCTTGAATGGTGATCGGACGTATCAATGAAACAATTCACGAACTCTCCTAATATATTCGTGTCCTTATACGACTAAAACACAATAATGATTTAGCCAAAATTTAAGGTAGCAAATGAGGTCTGACTTTAGTTCATCATCATCATCATCATCATCTCAGCCTGTCTGCTGTCCACTGCTGAACATAGGCCTCTCCAACTGATGTCCAGTGCGGCCGGTCCGTTGCCACCTACATCCAACGTGACCCAGCAATTTTCACCAGGTCGTCGGTCCATCTGGTAGGTGGCCGTCCCACACTGCGTTTGCCAGTACGTGGTCTCCACTCGAGGATCTTTCTGCCCCATCTGACTTTAGTTACTTATACTTAATAGTTTATTTGATATACCGGGTGATATTATGAAGTCGAAATTGAAATTGAGTCATCCATTTAATCGAGTAACAAATACGAATATAACAAGTTTAAATCAAGCACGTAGGGAATACGTAAAATAAAACTATCGCATTACGTGATGAAGGAATGATGCATGTAATAAATATTAAACCAGCCTATTTTATAGCCTAACTAGCTGACCCGGCTAGGAATCCGTCCGACGGGGGACACAACAAAGGGAAAACAAAATTGTTATTTCTATTTAATTCCGAGCATTTTCATATTTATCCACCTTTTAAACCTTCTCTGGACTTCCATACAACCCATCTAGCTGGCGCTCTTCCTCTAGCGCGCTTCCCCTCCATTTGTCCGAGAATTGTGAGTTTCTCCAGGCTGTGCAATGAGGATCGCATTTTGTGCCCAAAGAAACTCCGGACCTAGCACATAGTCAGCATGCGCATTCAGACTTAAATCATATGTCTCAAGGTAAATTATAAAATACACTAACTAATACTAATACAAATAAACGGACTATAAATACAAGATATACAAATAAACGTTTCATTGCACATACTCACATTAAATCTTGGCACAAACATAGATTGTAAAATATACAAGATCATTGCAAACACGTTTTTCTATTTATTTATTTATTTCATTTTCCGTTTATTGCTAAGCTTCATAGATAGACGTGTGTGTGGGTTGTGAATCCAAAAGGCGGATTTCGAGTTTCGACTCTTTTTTTTTTTTAATTGTATACATAAGAATTATAGTACGTTTTATAAAATACCTGATATATCTCAATATGGTCTTCAATATGGTCTCAATTCATTGTTTAATAATTAATCATCTCTTTAATTAAAACCACTTTTACTCTTTTAAACGTGCGTTTTTTATTGGTTTTATAATTTTTACTGCCCTTGTGGGTAGACGAGTATACAGTCCGCCTGATGGTGAGGGGCTACCGGCGCTCATGGACATCAGCAATGCCATTTTATTTCCACCTTTCGAATACCATACAATTTTCGTGGTTACAGGTGACTGACGAAACAGTAGCTTTAGAGAAAGACTCGAGAAATCCGAAGAAAATACTATAATCACCTGAAATTACCAGTAACTAAGCAACAATTAAACATAAGACAGACCCTGATCTCCTCTTTTTCTTATTGCTTAGATTGGTGGACGAGCTCACAGCCCACCTGGTGTTAAGTGGTTACTGAAGCCCATAGACATCTACGACGTAAATGCGTCACCCACCTTGAGACATGGGTTCTAAGGTCTCAAGTATAGATATAACGGCTGCCCCACCCTTCAAACCGAAACGCATAACTGCTTCACGGCAGAAATAGCCAGGGTGGTGGTACCTACCCGTGCGGACTCACCAGAGGTCCTACCAACAGTAAAATCTGCCAATTTATAGCAATAAATAAATAATCAAACATCGTACTTTTGAAATTTCTGGACACGCGGCTTTACTTGTCACCTTGCTGACCCACCGACTCCGGTGGTAAACACCTTCGTTGAGTCAACAAATTGAATAAGAATTATAATTAACACTAATAGTGTCCGCAACTCAAAACTCTATAAAATAGGTAAACAAGTTCTCGTTGATTGTATTATGAACATATACGAGTATATTACATAACGTGACGTGACGATTATTATTCAAATTATATTTTAATCGTACAACCTATATCTGAAGCTTTAGGCTGATCAATGAATATGGAACTATAGATAAGGACTTAGTTACGCCGGCACCTTTAGTATTCCCCGCTGCCGTTGCAAACAAACATATTGTTACGCCGGTAAGAGTAACGCCATCTATCGCCGAATAGCCGAATGAATATCGAAGGATCTAGTAACATCTAGAACGCGAAAAGTACAACGCCATCTATTTACAGATAGTGGAAACACATCGAAAGTACTCGACTTCTGAGGAATGTTCTCGACGATTCTAGGGATGTCGTATCGACTATTAAAGCGTTGTAGAGATGGCACGCAGTCATTCAGTAATCGGAACCACTCAGCAAGAAGCAAATTGAGAATTTTAAAGTGTTCTGTGTGTGTTCTAAGTGATAAATACAGTTTTAAGTTGTATTTTGATGGAACATTCTATTTATCCCGAACCCCAGCACGTAACAATATATTACATATGGTCTAACGATGCTTTTTTATTTCCATCACCGGGATACTCACAGTTACAGAATCCGTATCATGTGATCAACGTTATTTACATCGAGTTTTTTGTTTATAAGGTACTTAAAAAATTCCTGCCTGGAAGGCTTTGGAAAGGGATACGTCATAATGCCTTGTAAATAGTGTTACCACGCCTGATTTCTAAGCCACGCGCAACTATTTCATACACTGAAGATAACTAACTATTCATACCAATTCTTCTAATCAAATACGTATTTAACAAATGTTCGCGATTGACTTCCACGGTGAAGTAATAACATCGTGTTTCGCCTTGAAGGGTGGGGTAACCGCTGTAACTATACTCAGACCTTAGAACTTATATCTCAAGGTGAATGGCGCATTTACGTTGTAGATGTCTTTGGGCTCCAGTTACCATTTAACACCAGGTGGGCTGTGAGCTCGTACACGCATCTAAGCAATAATAAAAAAAAAAAATTACACGAAAAAAATTAAAACGTCTCTCAGAGGACAAAAAACAATAGGTAAACTGTAACGCAACAAAATCGCTTTACTCATCTGTGACACACAACAGACATTAGACGATGACCGGTCGAACTTGTCAGAGTAAATACGTTTGCCGGTGAGTGCGGTCGTGTTCTAAACGTTGTGATATGAAGTGATTTTTTAATAAAACAAAATAAAATGTCTCCGTTGTTGTTTACGACAATCGCAGCGGCTTATTTGTGCATCGCAAACGGACGTGAGTTCATCGAAATAAGTTTTTACGTACGACTTGAATTTTGAAACCTTGACTTTCAGTTTTTATTCGCGCGTCTTAAGGATAGAATGAATTGTACTAAATCATGTGCTAGTCGATAATCATTTTTTTAGGAACTTCTACGACTTCTATTGTGACGATCCAACTACTGACAGAATCTTATCATTAATTTATTAGTCTTATTAAGTTATCATCGTCCAGAAATGGTAACGAAAAACAGTGATGCCCTTTAATTGCAGACCATCTTCTCAGGTTGGGCCCGTGAGCTCACCTTACTGTCCGGGCGTAGCTGGAATCTACCAGCAAATAGTTAGGGAAAAACAAATCAAACCAAAAAATACCTACTTCTGCCGTGAAGCAGTTATGCGTTTCGGTTTGAAGGGTGGGGCGGCCATTGTAACTATACTTGAGACCTTAGAACTTATATCTCAAGGTGGGTGGCGCATTTTTACGTTATAGATGTCTATGGGCTCCAGTAACCACTTAACACTAGGTGGGCTGTAAGCTCGTCCAACATCTAAGCTATAAAAAAATAAAAAATAAAAAAAAGTACCAGAAAAGCATAAGGCGGTCTTAATTGCGTTCGGCTTCACACAACCATTAAGTCAAACAGGAATTATAAATTATAATTAAAACAATACGTTGTAATATTCGGCGCACACAAGAAGCGTTAAAAGCTACTTATTTCACGTGAAACAAGAATTATAAGTGATTATTTGAGAAGCAGTATTACTTTTAGGTGCACGCGTCTCTCTTCGAAAAAGGAAAGTGTCTCCAAATAAGAAACTTCACGGTTCTAGCCGCGGTCGCCAGCATTCAAATCTGCCTACAAAGACGTTAAGATAAATGTGTAGGTAATTATCGGTAGACCTCCAGTGTTTCAATGCAAGTTACTGTGGCAATATGCAGCTGCAACACTGTGGTAATAGCAACTTGGTTGTGACCCTGAGATGCGTCCGTGACTGACAGCAACCTCTGACCTCTCCCCATTACTTTTTTTCCTACCTAAGCTGCTGGTCTAGAAAGACCATGCCAGCGTAACCTTAACTAGTAGGTGAGCTCACGGGGCTTAAATCTGACGATGTTGCTAACACGAACCCTAGCAAGAGCCGTGCTTCGCAGAATCTACCACCGGATCGGAAACGCGACCCACTGAGAAGATCCGGCGAGAAACTCAGTGGGCTGTGTCTGTGGGTTAATTTACTCGCCGAGCCCCTCGTCTCAAGCGACGGGTTCGACGAGAACGATGACCGGTCCCCATTACGTAGCCGAACGCTTTTTCTACTGATTGAAATGAATAGGCGAGCTCACATAGCCTGGTGTTGTGTTTACCGAAGCCCGTAAGCTTCAGCCCGTGAATGCCTTCTCCTTCATCTCTAAGCCATTATTAGTACACGGCTAATGACATAGATATGGACTACGTTTAAAAATTTATTAATCGATACTCGACACCATTAACAAGAGAATAGCCGTTAGTTGTTTTTTTTTATCAGCAACCTATTTCTTTTTTTTTTACAATCAATTCATTTTCGTGCAAATAAATTTAATTTTAAATACAACGACATTTCTTTTATAAGTTTTATAATATATTTTTTTTATTCTATTTATCTATAGACCGACGAAAACTCGATAAAATAAACCTTTTGTTTTGATACGTCATTTTAATAATAAAAACAATAAATAAAAGTTAATGCAATCAATGAATCTGAATGTTAAGATAACTGTCATTAGGTATACCTAGTCGATTATCCGATCATTGGCCTTAATAAATACGTATTTCCTTAACTGGGTCAAATCACTATACACTTTATTCTCTATATACAGTCCAAAGCACGAAGTAGGTATTATATAAGCTAGTAGATAGGCATAGATTCTCTCTGTTGTACAAAAAAACAACTCTGATGTTTTATTTATAAAGAACAAGGATTATAAGGATTAAGGAAAACTTGTAAAACTTATATATATAATTTCCTAGTTTTATTTCGCAAGTTTACTATTAAATGTATTATCCAAAGATTCCAACTATTTTTTGACACGGCTTATTAGCTTGACTTCTTCTTTACTGGTGGTAGGACCTCTTGTGAGTCCGCACGGGTAGGTACCACCGCCCCGCCTATTTCTGCCGTGAAGCAGTAATGCGTTTCGGTTTGAAGGGTGGGGCAGCCGTTGTGACTATACTGAGACCTTAGAACTATATCTCAAGGTGTGTGGCGCATTTACGTTGTAGATGTCTATGGGCTCCAGTAACCACTTAACACCAGGTGGGCTGTGAGCTCGTCCACACATCTAAGCAATAAAAAAATAATAAAAAAAACTTCTATCTAGGTATATATAGTACTGAATTTTTCAACTTTCTGTATTAGAGTAAAACAAGTTGTTCTAATCATGAAACCGGAGCTCTGGATTTACGGTCGGGAGAAGCTGGACCAACCCGAGCGTAACACAGAGCACAAACCAAAAACCGTAAATCTTGCCTTATATATAAACTAGCGACCCGCCCTCCCTTCGCTTCGGAAACTGTAATTTACTATTGATTTCTCCACTATTTAATGGATGTTATTATACATATGAGAAAGTCTGAGAAAGTCAAAGGACAGGACCTTGTGGAAAACATTAGAGGAGGCCTATGTCGAGAGACAAGCTGTTTCCTAGCATTAAAATATATATATATAATATTTAGATATAAGCATTGTAAATTTTTTAACAGCAATAAAGGCTTATTATTATTATTATGGGTTATGGATATATTTTTTTTCTCAGCTAATGCTGGTAAGTGTATTATTATTATTATTATACATATAAGCCTTCCTCTTCAATCACTCTATCTATTAAAAAAAACACATCAAAATCCGTTGCGTAGTTTTAAAGATTTAAGCATACATAAGGATGTAGGAACAGAGAAAGCGACTTTGTTTTATACTATGTAGTGATTGCGTTAAAAACACTTCGCTTCGCTTCGGAAACTGTAATTTACTATTGATTTCTCCACTATTTAATGGATTTCATTATACATATAAACATTCTCCTTCAATCACTCTATCTATTACAAAAAGCCGCATCAAAATCCGTTGCGTAGTTTTAAAGATTTAAGCATACATAGGGATATAGGGACAGAGAAAGCGACTGTGTTTTATACTATGTAGTGATTGCGTTAACAACACTAGCCTTGCTCTTCACTCACTCTAACCGGCGCCATCTAGGCGGGCTTCGGATAGCCTGCCGACCAAGAGGGCTGGTGGTCGTGGAGCCGACGACCGCCAGTCCGGCGTCCCGAGGGGGAGAGTGATGGGATAGATGTGCTCCGCACTAAACGCTTCACTTTCCCCTTTGCCTTTTCATGAGCTCTGTCTCATGCGAGGTTTGGACGTTGGTTGTTGAACGACAGGAGGTTTTAGTCGGTTCGACTACGACATGCCCCGCTCTCCATCCCCAGTGGAGGGCGGAAGACCGGCGATTCCCTACAGATCAAAAAAAAAAAAAACCTTGCTCTTCATCTACACAATTACTGATTTTGTTAAATAAGACCTTTACGGGTTGCGTGCTCACGGACTATTTACGAAAACATTTAATTTCCCAGTTTTGAGCTTGAACCAACAAGAGACCCAGCTAGATAGAGGCCATATATAAATTTCCAACTAATTATTAGTCATAACGCACAATCCTTTGTAGTATGTACAGCTTTACTTATCCTTGTGCTAATATTGCATTAGCAATAGGTAAATTTATCATTATATTATTCATTTATTTGTTTTTTCATCCGATAAGTCTTTTTATTTTTTTATTGCTTAGATGGATGGACGAGCTCACAGCCCACGTGGTGTTAAGTGGTTACTGGAGCCCATAGACATCTACAACGTAAATGCGCCACCCACCTCGAGATATAAGTTCTAAGATCTCAGGTATAGTTACAACGGCTACCCCACCCTTCGAACCGAAACGCATTACTGCTTCACGGCGGAAATAGGCGGGGTGGTGGTACCTACCCGTGCGGACTCACAAGAGGTCCTACCACCAGTGACAAGTGCAACGCGGTTAATTTCTTTCCTTAAATGATTCTTGTCAACCCGATGGCGGTCTGGAAGAGATTGCTCTTACCGATAAGACCACCCGATAAGTTTATTTTACATTATCTTTATTTATATTGTCTTAACAGAATCACTGAATGAATACAGATATCGTTAATACCAATATTCTTAATCTAATGCTATAAAGATTTGAACGAAAATATCCCAAAAAAAATTAAAACTTTGTGGTGAAATGTCCACCTTTTGCTTTCCGTATTAGCTTTGGTGGGCCGTTAGTTGGTCAGTCCACGCGCGTATTAATAACTAGCTTTTGCCCGCGACTCCGTCCGCGTGGAATAGTTACTTTGGCATAACGCTAAATTTTACTCCCCACTTCATTTAAGTAGAATGTGAAAATATTGTTGAACTGTATAATGTTAAGGAGCTATTTAAATCCTTATTTTGAAACATTATTTATTGGTGCTCCACTTGTATTGATCTTAACCATGATGTTTTATATCTTTTATAGCCTATAGCCTTCCTCAATCAATGGGCTATCTAACACTGAAAGAATTTTTCAAATCGGACCAGTAGTTCCTGAGATTAGCGCGTTCAAACAAACAAACAAATTCCTCAGCTTTATAATATTAAGTACTAGCTGACCCGGCAAACCTCGTAGTGCCTCAATCGATAAATAAAATATCTAAGCTTTTGTATAAATTAAACTTAAATCAAACAAAAGGAATTCGTCCGAGGGGGGACGATGTGTCAAAGGAAAAGCAAAATTGTTATTTTTATTTAATTCCGAGAATTTTCATATTTATCGAACCTTTTAAACCTTCCCTGGACTTCCACAAATAATTCAAGACCAAAATTAGCCAAATCGGTCCAGCCGTTTTCGAGTTTTAGCGAGACTAACGAACAGCAATTCATTTTTATATATGTATATAGAAGATAGATGTCTTAAGTAACAGAAGTTTAAGACAATTCTTTCGATTCTAAAAATAAACAGCTACAGGATTCGCAGTCAATCCCAAATGGATTCGCATTCATTTGCGTATTACGGCGCCATAATCTCGAACCAGAGTCCGAAAGCGATTCCAGAATGTTCCAAATGAAATCACATATTAAGGCTAACGAACTTTTTTGCTGGTGGTAGGACCTCTTGTGAATCCGCGCGGGTAGGTACCACCGCCCTGCTTATTTCTGCCGTGAAGCAGTAATGCGTTTCGGTTTGAAGGGTGGGGCAGCCGTTGTAACTATACTGAGACCTTAGCACTTATATCTCAAGGTGGGTGGCGCATTATTTATGTTGTAGATGTCTATGGGCTCCAGTAACCACTTAACACCAGGTGGGCTGTGAGCTCATCCACCCATCTAAGCAATAAAATTTTTTAAAAAAATTCAAATATAATCTTAGAATAGATTTTCGGGGTATACCTATACGGACAAGTTAGTTGGGTGATGTCGACACACCATACCGTCACCTGATATATGAGTCGACTATTATCAAAGCCGGCAATGTGACTTTTGGACAATTATTGGTAAAACAGAAAAACGAATTATTGACTTTGTATTCCATTGGCAGTCACAAAACTCTTCTGAACGACATCTTAGATACAGTTTTGAACCGTATTCTTTGAAGGAGACGATTATATTCAAATCAATCTGTATCGACATATCAATAACATTTTTTTGTCCAAATGCACAGATTGCCACCTTTGATAATAGACGACTCATATGTAGTAGATCTTCGAGAAATATCAGCAACCAAATTACCACGCGGTTTCGGTATTTCGAATATCAATTTAGCACGAAATTCAATGAATCCTTATTTATAAACGATAAATCAATGACCTTTCAAAAACCTACACTTTTTTTATGTCTTAGATGGGTTGATGGGCTCGCAGCCCACGCGGTGTTACCGGGAGCCCATAGACATCTACAACGTAAATGCCGTCACCCACCTTGAGTATCTGCGGCTGCCCCACTATTCACCCTGTGTGTGTGTGTGCTTAGTAGACTGTGGAACTTAGTAAAACGCTAAATACCACAGTCGCTTTTCTAACTAAACGTCTTAGGAGGCGCCGAGCTGGGACACGTCGGCGTCCCAACTATCCGACATAGCCTAGGATTTTTTTTTTTTACCACCAGTTATAAATAATCATACATAGATGATTTATGTATATTTTTTTTTCGAATACCCTACTTTTACCTACAGCCCTGTATATTTTCGTATATTAGCTGAAATTTATTATTTTACGGAACATTTTTTTTTATTGCCTTTGTAGGCAGACGAGCGTACGGCCCACCTGATGGTAAGTGGTTACCGTCGCCCATGGACTTCAGCAATGCCAGGGGCAGAGCCAAGCCGCTGCCTACCACAAGTCCTACGAAGTCAACCAGTCACCATATCACGAACATCCCCCGGTATTGAGTTCCTTGTTTTCCTGCTTATAGGTACCGCAGCACACATAGATAACGATTCAATTTATTTTCCGGATGACTTAAGAAAAAACGAAATAAACGGTGAAGGTAAAAACCATTAACGTATTAAAACTAACTAGTGGTCCCGCAGTAGTCGAAATTCGACTATAATTAATTGGAATTGTAAGTTTGTACACTATTATGATTGTATTTTATACTTCTATAATCACAAATTTCCCCAAGGCTACTATATATAAAAAAATATTAACAAAGACAAACAATATTGTATATGTATCTTTTATGCATTATTTAAAAAAATATTAGCATTGTGCACTTCTTCTCTATATTCTCTATAAGTGTGGAAAATTTCATACTCCTCCGTCCGCGCAATTTTCGTAAAAAGGGATACAAAGTTTTTGCTTCACGTATTAATATATAGATTAAAACTAATGCTTGAGTTTTGCAAGTGACAATCGCGAAGGAATAAACGAGTTTTGAACAATCCGCGCAGAAAATAAAAGATATTAGAAACTGTAATAAAACTTATCTTCGTATTCCGATATCGAAAACTAAGGTGTTTTATACGTCGACAATCAAATATTTCCCGTCCGTGAGAAGCTGACATAGCCCTTTGGGCTACCAGAAATGGGTAGGGAAAAACAAATATTGTATTTTAAATTCGTCGTGGCCTAAAGGATAAGACGTCCGGTGCATTCGTTGTTGCGATGCACCGGTGTTCGAATCCCGCAGGCGGGTACCAATTTTTCTAATGAAATACGTACTCAACAAATGTTCACGATTGACTTCCACGGTGAAGGAATAACATCGTGTAATAAAAACCAAACCCGCAAAATTATAATTTGCGTAATAACTGGTGGTAGGATCTCTTGTGAGTCCGCACGGGTAGGTACCACTGCCCTGCCCATTTCTGCCGTGAAGCAGTAATGCGTTTCGGTTTGAAGGGTGGGGCAGCCGTTGTAACTATACTGAGACCTTAGAACTTATATCTCAAGGTGGGTGGCGCATTTACGTTGTAGATGTCTATGGGCTTCATTAACCAATTAACACCAGGTGGGCTGTAAGCTCGTCCACCCATCTAAGCAATAAAAAAAAAAAACCATTAATAGAAAAATTAACGAGTAACACGTTGTCATTCGTGACCCGATGAAAACTGCCAAGTATTCTAAACGTCAAAAATAATGAAATGAATATAACAAACGCGAAACGAAACGCCATTTCTAAATAAACAATATGGAATAATAAATTTAAAAAACAACAACAACATAATAATTGTAAAAATTATTGGATATTGAAGGTCTTAAAAAACAGTTCAAAGATTTGAGTCTGTAAACAAAAGGAATAAATAACATGATCATATCTATACCAATATATAAATCTACAGTGGTTTTTACGGATGTTCCGTTATAACTACTAAACCATGCATCCGATTAACTTGAAACTTAGTATCCATGTAGAAAATAAATGTACTTAATGTATAGAATAAAATTTATTTGAGTGTTGAACTCCCTACACCAGTTGCGGAGGCGTTAATGATGAGAATCTTTGTGGGGGTGACTCATAACTAAAGTTAAAACTAGTGTAGTGTGTAATATCCAAAACGACAATAGTAATTAGTAAATTATATTTCATGTATTCGTGTATAAATTAAGAACAATTTAGATTTTTCAATATCCAATTATATGTAACATTAATGGGATTTCTCATATCAATCAATTTCTCAATTTGCCTAATCATTCATTCATTTCAATCACCGAGTTACATAAACATAGTTCCATTAGAAGTCATCTAGTTTAATATCCATTAAGTTTAATATAATATTTTCTAAATATTATAATTATCAATTGTTTAATTTACCAGAACGGGCCAGCTTTTAAAATAGCTACTATTGTACAATCATAGGTGTGTTCAATTTAAATAGTTCAGAGCCCAGACTCACAGCCATTTTGGGGAAATATCTCGTGTTATAATTTATTACCATAACCTTATACGTACGTATCTTTAAAGTATCTGAAAAACATGGCGACAATTCAATATCTAATGGCTCCACATTATAGGTATTTTTAAGACCTATACTAATGAACGTATGGCTGAAGACACCCAATCTAACGAAATTTTTCATAAAGCGAAACCATTTTTATAGTTGTAGTTAGCAGCACATTTGAAATGTTTACCGATAACATTGACTGTGTATTAACCTGTGTATTATAAACCCCTTAAAGTATCAAACACATTGTATAAGTTATCAAAGATAATAAAGGAAATGGTTTGCAATCATATACATACATTACTACCAAAAATCATCGATTCTATTCCGTGCTATAGCTTGTAAAAATTAAATATATTTTAATGTGCTATAAAAAAAATACAAAACGCATGCCCCCGGGAGGTCAAATCACCGATTTAACGATTACGGACTTACCCAAAAATCAGTACTTTACACCAGATGCAGATACGTCTATAACGTTGTATGCCTGTTAGATCATCACTTATCACTTTGCGACCTAAGGTTATTGTGTGTGTAAAATTTCTAACCATTCGTAATTCTACTAATTGTTTTAATATTATCAATATTATCGTCCATAATTATTAATAAAATATTTTGTATCTCAGGAATGTGGACAAGATAGGATCATAATAACAAATTACATTATTATTTTTGCAATGTTTCGGTCTTTTATTAGACCTTCATCAGGCATCTGAAAATTACACATATTAATAACCGACAATATAAAAATAACAATTGTCAACACTACAATATTTACCATAATATGAATTCCAACAATCACTATCTTACACTGCCCAGCCTTAGTCATCATAAATTAATACAAATTTATATTAATTTATGTTATACTAGCGGCCCGCTCCGGCTCCGCTCGGGTCTTTAGCAAAAATTTCAACGATATTTGACGTTGTTTTATTCTTTAAAATAAAAGAACACTTATTGCGGCATAGCTATAATAGTTAGACATATGCTGTCGCGATATTTTTTGTAAATAATAATGTGTTCTACAAAGTCGTAGTATATTATTTTATTCTATCATCAATAGTTTTCGTAGGGCAGGCGATGTAATAGCCTATGTCACTCGGGAAAAGTGTAGCTTCCAAACAGTGAAAGAATTTTTCAAATCGGTTCAGTAGTTTCGGAGCCTATTCGATACAAACAAACAAACAAATCTTTCCTCTTTATAATATTAGTATATATTAATTTATATTAAAAAATACAAATTCATACAAATTTATATTAATTTATGAATTTATATATAATTTGTATTAATTTATGATGACTAAGGCAACTGTGCAGTGTAAGGTAGTGATTGTTGGAATTCATATTATGGTAAAAATATTGTAGTGTTGGCAATTGTTATTTTTATATTGTCCACATTCCTGAGATACAAAATATTTTAATTGATTTAATCTTTGTGTGTGACATAAAAGGCTTTATTATGATGCGCAGTTTCGACAATTTTTAACATAACTTGTTTTTTTTTGTGTGTCACTAAGGCAGCTTTTAGTTTTTCAATAACATATTTATGAAACCGCATATCTCGCATTTCAGAGTCAGCGTGCACGGCCTCCAGTGGCGGTCAGGGAACGTGTGTGGATATCTACAAATGCGAGCCATTGCTGGCCCTCGTTAGAAAGCCTGATCGTACTCAACAGGATCTGGAAGCTCTCAAGAAATCTCAATGCGGGTTTCAGGGAGGGAAGCCATTGGTAATGTCATTCATTGGATAATTGCAACTTAGTTCATTAAATAACCAAATCTGGGCATGACTCTTAGATTTGAAAGAAATCATGGCCTATAGGATATGACGGCACGTGTACTCGTATTGAAAGATGTGACTATGGCGATGTTCTTTCTAAGCCATTAAGCGTGTACCAAATGTTACCGTGATACTTTGACAAATAGAAATCCCGTAGTGGAAAACATTAAGAATCTAGTACTGACATTGTTATTTTAGGGACACAGTTTTAACCAGTTGTGTTATTTAATTATCTCACTTCCGATAACGCCCTGAATCATTATTGATCACTACCAAAATAACTTCTAAATGATTTAAGTCTGTCATTATCGCACTGGATGGGGTTTAAAAATAACATGTCCCGTATTTTGATTTGATTTCGAGTTTTAGTGATGTTTATATGCGTATTTGACAGCGGCAAATCAAATATTGTTATACATATCAGAATGGGAGTTAATTCGAGGGTTGACTTAGAAATCCAAGCGAGAAACCAGTTCCACCAGACCAAAGCCAAAATGAGCACATTATTCGTTTGAACAATCTAGTCTTGTCCTTTTAAAGCGATTGACCTTTTCCAAACTAAGCTTTATTTGCATTGAAAAAAAAAACATTACTTTGTAATTTTTTTTTATTGCTTGGATTGGTGGACGAGCTCACAGTCCACCTGGTGTTAAAAGTTTACTGGAGCCCATAGACATCTACAACGTAAATGCGCCACCCACCTTGAGATATAAGTTCTAAGGTCTCAGTATAGTACAACGGCTGCCCCACCCTACAAACCGAAACGATTACTGCTTCACGGTAGAAATAGGCAGGGCGGTGGTACCTATCCGCGCGGACTCACAAGAGGTCCTACCACCAGTAATTACGCAAATTATAATTTTGCGGGTTTGGTTTTTATTACACGATGTTATTCCTTCACCGTGGAAGTCAATCGTGAACATCTATTGAGTACGTATTTCATTAGAAAAATTGGTACCCGCCTGAGATTCGAACACCGGTGCATCGCTCAACACGAATGCACCGGACATCTTATCCTTTAGGCCACGACGATTTCAAATGGCTATCATTTTCAATATAGTCAAGAAGCATACGAGGAAATGTAACTGAAAAAGCACATCAACCATAATCGATATTGTAAATAGCAACGGGAATTACATGAATTAAATACAAAGGAAAAACAGAATTTTCCTGCATGATGTGAAAACGTTACGGACCAATCACACACATCTCTGTAAAATGAGTCATAAGTAGCGCATGCGTACGTAATGTGATAAATTTTTAGTAATTAGTTTTCCTCGTCATATGATTTTTTGTTGTTTATCTCATTTAAATTCTCACGGATATAATCTACGCGAGTTAATATTTTGAAATCAAGCATTTTTGATGATCAAAATATTTTCTGTTACCAATCCAAATGTTTAATAAGCATTCATGAGACAAATACTTTCAAAGAAAGAAAACTACACTACAGTCAAAGAAAGAAAATGGTACATATTAAAACTAGTGTTCGCCCAGTATAGCAATCGAAATTCTAACTAAATATACTGGCCTCCTTAACGTTCAAATAAAATTTATGTATTAATTTTCCTCATTTGTTTTACTGTATAATAGCTACTAAACAAAAAATTAGATCGGTTCACGAACAAATTAGATTTTTTTTTATTTTATGGGCAAACGATCATACGGCCCAACAGTTGATTGCAATGCCAGAGGCAGAGCCAAACCGCTGTCTACCGTTAAGTAATCTCCGCAAGCCGCGTTTCAAGAAGGACATGTCAAAGTGACATAGTATTTCCCGGTTTTATCTTTGCCTAATTATATACTGCGAAATTTTTAATGTTCTAAACAGCATTTAGCTGAGTGAGCTTTACTCATTCGTGACTAAAATTACAAAAACCCTGGCCGAAATTGGGCATTACCAAAAATTTTAAATAATCATATCCTTGCTTTAATGCTTATCATAGATATCGCTTGGATACTATTTTAACTACTTGGGTCATGACAGGGCACAATGGAAGCCTCAACGGGCTAAATAGGGTCGGGTCAACGGGTTAGTTTACTTTTTTATATGATAAATTACAACATGCATTAAATCACCTACAACAGTTAGGACAAAAGCGCGATGAGCAAAAACATTAGCTCCGACATTCGAAGCTTGTAATTCCATTGTCATCATCCAATTTCAGGTATGCTGTCCAAGCGAATGTCACACACCGGATGGTAAACCAGGAAAATGTATAAACATATACTCTTGCGAACACCTCACTCAAATGTTGAGGCCTCCGACCTCGAAGGAAAACATGTTATACGTACAAAACTCCAGGTAAATTATTATTTTTCAATAATAAGCGTTTTTAGTTTTTTTTTCTTTTATGTTTGCGAAATTACTGGAGGCCTTTCCAGTTTTACTAGGGCAGGTGGGCGAGAGCAAGGGCTTGGCCAGGAGGGGTGGGATTTGCTAACAACTACCCGAGCGCCTCCAAAGGAGACCTAACAACTCAAGAGTAGCTGTTTCGCGAATAAATCTACCACCGGAATCGCGACCCGCTGAGAAGATCCAGCGAGAAACTGAGCGCGCTGATACATGGGTTAGGTTGCACGTCGAACTCTTTGCCGAGTTCGAAGACTACGGTTACCGGGGTCCCTACTCCTAGAGTGTTAGAGCTAAAGATGTCTAATGCAAGGGCGTTTCCAGTACACGAAAACGGAACGGAACAACGGAAATTGTTTAATCAATCATTAAAATACAAATAAGATTATTAGAATGGTCTCTTTGTCTAAATATTTAATTAGACTATGACTCGGACATCGGTCATATGAGTACCTTTTCAACGCTCGAAATAGAGGAATTCTTGGGCCATACAGCGTTATGTAGTCAATGAATCACCCACTACCTCACGGGCTTACAGTACCCTTCTACCGTAAAAAGCGTTTTCGGGAGTTAGGGCTCACATCCACAGCGTAAGTGGTGATATTCGCAATATGATATTTATATTTGGGGGTTGGTGCTTCCCGCTTCCGTAGGTTTAACTGGGGGTTGGTGCTTCCCGCTTCCGTAGGTTTAACCGGGGGTTGGTGCTTCCCGCTTCCGTAGGTTTAACCCGCGATTCCCTACAAGTGACCCCTGGGTGGTGCAAAACGGGAGCCGAATACATAATCGGTGGTAGGACTTGTCCGACTGGCTGGCGACCACCCTCCAACTAGAGTCCGCCGCCAAATAGCCTAGCTGTGTTCCGGCGTGTAGGTTGGAGAGCCAGTTCTATTCCTTCCCTTTCCCCTTCCTTGCTGGGGGTGAGTCTTGGTGACGCCTGGAACATGCGGAGCAGACGTGCGTGCGAGATCACGGGGCGTGATTGTTTGACGGGGGTATAGGGAGACCTAGTGAAACGGTATCCGCTGCCGCCCGCCGGTCAGTAGGGGACCTGAACCCGGGTGTCTCTACTAAACTCCGCCCCGGGAAGCTGTCCCGCCAACCGGTGTAAAATCCTGTCGTGCGGTCGTCGTGCCGGAGTCGGAGANGACGTTGCTAACACGAACCCTAGCAAGAGCCGTGCTTCGCAGAATCTACCACCGGATCGGAAACGCGACCCACTGAGAAGATCCGGCGAGAAACTCAGTGGGCTGTGTCTGAGAGTTAATTTACTCGTCGAGCCCTTCGTCGCAAGCGACGGGTTCGACGAGAACGGTGACCGGTGCTTGAAGTACCTAGAAGCACCGTTAGTGGATCGGGAGGATCCGAGATAACGTGTTTTGGGCGACGTCGACTGCTTTCCATTCTTTCCGCAGGATCGGGAATGATAAGTGAGAGTAATAGCCAGGACCCGTCATTTTAAGCTCCCAAAACCTCTATTAGCGAGAAACAGAAACCTTTGTAAGGGAAAGTCGTTTTTCCCCCATGGACCTCCGTAATTGAGACTGCGACTTATCTATACGCGACAGTCGAGCTTTATTTATTTATATTATTTAGGAGGAACAAATGACAAAATAAATTACAAATTTAACATTTGACTCATTATAACTCATTCTTAACTTTCGTGGAACTTCCTACCATTGTTTTTGTATTGTTTTCTCGTCAATATTGAACGTATTCTATTTCGTGGAACTAAATAACGTTGTTAATTTATCGCATTCTTTTCGAACGGACACGTGTGCCTGTGTACCGTCCTGTTTGTCGGACTTACTCAGTTTATCGTTAATCCATTGCGAAGGAAAGTTCTGTTCTGAATCGTGTCAAAACGAAAAATTAAAGTACTGTCATTGGGTGATAAACTTAAAATAGTAAATGCGTTTGAATCCGGAATATCACGAAATGAAATTCAGAGGGTGCATTAGAGAGAAACTCGAGTTAGTGAGAAACCTCTATAAACGTTCACGATTGACTTCCACGGTGAAGGAACAACATCGTGTAATAAAAACCAAACCCGCAAAATTATAATTTGCGTAACCGCTGGTGGTAGGACCTCTTGGGAGTCCGCACGGGTAGGTACCACCACCCCGCCTATTTCCGCCGTGAAGCAGTAATGCGTTTCGGTTCGAAGGGTGGGGTAGCCGTTGTAACTACACTGAGACCTTAGAACTTATATCTCTAGGTGGGTGGCGCATTTACGTTGTAGATGTCTATGGGCTCCAGTAACCACTTAACACCAGGTGGGCTGTGAGCTCGTCCATCCATCTAAGCAATAAAAAAAAAAAAAACGTGAATGAGATTGTGCTCCCTTAAACTCTCGCTTATCCAGGTTTGACTGTACATTGCTTAACTTACACAAAACACTATTATTTCGTATTTTCATTTCAAAAAACTCGTCCCAGATTATTTACGTGATCTTTCTCGTATGCTGTTTTTGTTATTTGTCTCTTTATCTATCTTCTTCTATCTATATACATATATAAAAATGAATTGCTGTTCGTTAGTCTCGCTAAAACTCGAGAACGGCTGGACCGATTTGGCTAATTTTGGTCTTGAATTATTTGGGGAAGTCCAGGGAAGGTTTAAAGGTAGATAAATATGAAAATGCTCGGTATTATAACAGTTTTGTTTTCCCTTTGTTGTGTCCCCCGTCGGACGAATTCCTTTTGTTTGTTTTAAGTTTATTTTATACCAAAGTTTAGGTCTTTTATTTACCGATTGAGGCACTAGGAAGTCTGCCGGGTCAGCTAGTCTTATATATAAAATTCTCGTGTCACAATGTTAGTTACCATACTCCTCTCTGAAACGGTTCGACTGATTTTTATGAAATTTTATATGTATGTTCAGTAGGCCTGAGAATCGTCTACTATCTATTTTTCATACCCCTAAGTGATAAGGGGTTGTCCACCCCTAACAATTATTTTCTATTTTTATTTTTTGGCTAATTTTTTTTTTGTTATATTCAGGTATTATGTGGTTGAAAGATATATTTTTTTTCTACACTAGAATTCCCTAGAAATCTTATATATGGCAAGACAACGTTTGTTCGGTCCGCTAGTAATGATAGAAAAACAAATTATGAAAAAAAATTAACATCTAGAGATTTGCTCCAATTCGAACGTGTTCCATTAAATACAAAATACAAATACAATACAAAATACATAAATATTTACTAACAATCTGTTAACTTGTCCCGTGATAAGTTCGTAAAGAACTTGTGTTACAGGTACCAGATAACGGAAATAAATGTAAGATTTTTATTATACACATACATATATTTAATATACATACATAACCCTGGAAAAGACATTTATATTTATCATACAAATATCTTCCCTTGGCGGGTTTCGAACCCGCGACCCCCTTATGTAGTGACCATGTCACTTACCACTACACCAGACGGCCGTTTATAAATAAATGCAAAATCTCCACAATGTAATGAGGAAAATTGACACAAACGAACATAATCTGTTTCAGGTGTAAAAGTGCAGATCAATACAGTGTATGCTGTGGCCCAGCGCCTTTAGCCACACCCCCTCCTCCAGCGGGCAGCTGCAGGGCGACTGTTTCGGCATTACTACCCAACCCAGCGGACTCTTGCTGTGGTCTAGACGCCAACGTTGGAAACAAAATCGTTGGTATGTACGTCACCAAATACGTATTGTCGTCATCGATCTAATACAGCCTTTCCCAAAGTGGGCGATAACGCCCCCTTGTGGGCGCCGCAGGCCTAAAAGGGGGCGGTAGGAGACCCAGAAAAAATGGGGCGTTCTGTACAGGTTAGGAAGGCGATTTGTAACTTCATCTAGGATTATTAGACACCGACTGAGCTCTCGCTATAGTGGTTTTAAAGTAGGTGAAGAAATGGGGGCGCTAAAAATAATTTATTCTCAAAGTGGGCCGTAAACAACAAAGTTTGGGAGCCCCTGACTCTAATAGATTGGAATGAATGCTATTCGATCCGTTGAGGATTCGGGGTTAGGCTACAACAGATATGAGGCGAGCGCATCAAAGGATACAAGTTTGACTAGCTCTGTTTTACACACAATTGCGTTTCGATTTCACCCTGTGGAAGTGTAGTGCACTAAACCGATCCTTGACATGGCTAACCTATTTCTAGGTTATTCATAGCAGACATCCCGATGTACTCTACAGGCTCAGCGCCGGTGCGAATTGGAAAGCGCGGTTCGACCATCCGATTGCTCTTTGAGAAAAAAGGCCCCACAAATCCCCTCACCTCGCTAAGCGAATTAAGGCCTTTTGCTTCGTGCGATAAAACTTAACTTTATTTTTATTTTTTATTTTTTCCTACCTAAGCTGATAGATAGCCTTGAGAGGCTATTTCAGCGTAGCCTTAGCTAGTATGAGAGCTCACGGGGCTCAAACCGAGGTGATGCTAACACTGACCCTAGCAAGAGCAGTGCTTCGCAGAATCTACCACCGGATCGGAAACGCGACCCACTGAGAAGATCCGGCGAGAAACTCAGTGGGCTGTGTCTATGGTTTAATTCGCTCGTCGAGCCCTTCGTCGCGAGCGACGGGTTCGACGAGGACGGGGACCAGTGCTTGTGGTACCTAAAAGCACCATTTAACTTAATGAAGAACAATAAAACTAACCGATGAAACTTTTTTGCCAGGTGGAACAGCGACTGCTATCGACCAATACCCGTGGCTGATAGTCATCGAGTATGTCAGTGATAACAGGATCAAATTATTGTGTGGTGGCTCGCTGATAAGCGGTAGATATGTTCTTACAGCTGGCCACTGCATAGCCGGAGCGGTCCTTCAAATCGGAAAACCGTAAGTATTTCAGTCGCTCATATATCTTAGGTTTCCTTTTGTAGCGTGCAACATTCGGTGGCACTCGGGCGTCATCGGATGCGATCGGACTTCCCGAACGCGCAGGTGTCGTCCGGTGACGTCATGCAACGAGATTCGCGCGTGTCCATTTAAGTTGATTGTAAAAACGTAATTTTAGTTTTAATTTGTATCTTCTAGTGCCTAGCGTTGTTTATTTTACTTTTGGTTCATATTTTAATATTGTACACATTATAGATATTGTGGAAATGGTGTGTGTTGACTTTTATATGTTCAGAGTAAAAATATCCCGCGAATGCGAACAACAAATACCAAACCACACTTTAACTCCAAAAAATTCACATTAAGATTGTTTTATGCCGTGTAGCTTATGATCTTATCTTGATGATACGATGTTCGTTAGTGGTATTTTCATAAGGTGTACCAATGAAGGCAATAAAGCCAAACAAATTAGTAGGCAGCAGTTTGGCTTTGCCCCTGGTATTGTGGACATCCATGGGCGATGGTAACCACTCACCATCAGGTGGGCCGTAGGCTCGTCTGTCTACAAGGGCAATAAAAACACACAAAAAAAAACACGACGTGTTTCTGTAAATTTCCAGAAACCCAACTAGAGACTAAATTTATTATTTCTCAAGGGAAGAACCAGAACACAAAAAATACATACTTAGCTAGAATTCCTATGACGTTCGAAGATTTTCATCAGAAGTGCGTGCACGGGATCATTAATCATACTTAATTGTTTAACTTGAGGAAAACTTTGAAAACCACCGTTTGAACATAATGAATTTCCAATCGAAATTATTTTTTAATAGTAGCGGTGGAATAGTTCTAGTGGGTCACAATTCCGATCTTGTTGTAGATTTAGATAATCGGTGCTCTACTTGGACATATTAGCAAACTATTTCAGACCGAATCCCTCGTCCACTGTGAGCTCATTCACCATGCTTGATAAGGCCAAAATAGTTCCTTGAAGCTACTTTCAATACTACTTACTTAGGTAGGCGACGAAACACAATGAAAGGAAGTTTTCTGGCATAGCACAAAAACACTCAATGTCAGGCGCGATCAATTAGAACAACTGACTGTTCTTAGTACATTTCGAAGGTCTCAAAGCATCATCCAGTCACAACAAAGATATACCATTCTATTATACTTCAAGTTCAGTACAAATACAGTATATAGTCAGCATTGACAGTGATTGACCGAAAAAAAATCACTGGTGGTAGGACCTCTTGTGAGTCCGCGCGGGTAGGTACCACCGCCCTGCCTATTTCTGCCGTGAAGCAGTAATGCGTTTCGGTTTGAAGGGTGGGGCAACCATTGTAACTATACTTGAAAAAAAAAAAAAGAAAATAGTTGAGAAAATACAAAAAAAAAAAAAAGCCCGCTGAGTTTGTTTCGCCGGTTCTTCTCAGGACTGTGGCTTTTTTGTAACCGGTGGTAGAGTTAACATTTTCTTTTACATTTTGACATTCAACAAGTGTGTTTTTGATGACATCNAAAAAAAAAAAAAGCCCGCTGAGTTTGTTTCGCCGGTTCTTCTCAGGACTGTGGCTTTTTTGTAACCGGTGGTAGAGTTAACATTTTCTTTTACATTTTGACATTCAACAAGTGTGTTTTTGATGACATCCAAGTTGAAATAAATGATTTTGAATTTGAATTTGAATTTGAATTAGACCTTAGAACTTATATATCAAGGTGGATGGCGCATTTACGTTGTAGATGTCCATGGGCTCCAGTAACCACTTAACACCAGGAGGGCTGTGAGCTCGTCCACCCATCTAAGCAATAAAATAAATAAAAAATATTATAATAATAATATCACTAAATTTTCAGTACCAACATTAGACTCGGCGAATACGACACTGCTAACAGCGGACCGGATTGTGTGGTTGTCGAAGCCGGAGGCACGGACTGCACGGAAGATATAGTAGTCATACCCATTGAACAGATCATACCCCATCCGGAATATAATCCTGTCAGCCCTCAGAGGAAGAACGATATTGCTTTGATTAGAATGAGTCAAATGGCTCCTTATACTGGTCAGTATATTGCATTACTTGCACTCGGCTCTTTTTGAGTTTCAGTTCTATAGTTTATTCTATAGTTCTTCGCGGCAGTAACAGGCATATTGGTGGTACCTAACCCAATGCTACCAAAAGCTTTTAACAATCCAACGAGGGTAACAAAAAAGATTGTCCCAAAAACATAATACAATGCTTACACCACAACCATGATTATTTCTGTGTATAGCGGCAGCATATATTGAAATCGATCGTGTTTGAGAGGAAAATCATTTTTTGTTTTGTTTACCGCAAATGAAAAAGAATAGATAAAAATAGGTAGACATTTTGGCCTTTGTACACGGCACTTTGCTCTAAATTTAAATGGGTAAAACCCTTTACTGTACCCAGGATTAAAGATTGTTGTTATACGCGTTTTTCAGATTTCATCAGACCGATCTGCCTTCCATCGGCGGACATTACAGTGAACACACCGAATAAAACAGTATTCTACGCCGCCGGTTGGGGTGCAGTGAGCACGAACCAGATCAGCAGCGATGTCAAATCCCACGTAGACTTGCCTTACATTCCCCACAGTGTAAGCTTTTTTTTTCCCTACCGGTAACCTAGACACACTATTTCTGAGCTAGCTAAGCCAGAGAGAATTTGCTAGCACCAGCAAGAGCGGTGCTTTTTTGAATCTACTACCCGATCGGAATTGCGAGCCACTGAGAAAATCCGGCGCGAAACTCAGTGAACTACATTTATTCTAAAAGTAGAAATGCACCTCGATTGCAGTTTAGGACGAGTAAGGTATAATTTTCAAGTTGTGTTTTGTCAATTTAGTCTCTCGTTTCATTAGTACCGGGAATCCTAGTTTGGGGCCAAGAGACCACGTGTGGTTTGTCCCCGATTACTTATTTATCCCGCGTATTTTTTTCAGATTTGCCAACCAGCGTACTCGGTGCAAAACCGCAAAATAACTTTATGGAACAAACAGATTTGCGCTGGCGGTGTTCCGGGCAAAGACTCTTGCAAGGGCGACTCCGGTGGGCCATTGATGTACGAGAACGGTAGACAATATGAAGTCGTCGGTGTGGTCAGCTTTGGCCCAACGCCGTGCGGCCTTCCCGACATTCCGGGCGTTTACACCAAAGTCTACGAATACCTCGACTGGATCAGGAGCACGGTCAAATCATAGCTTTAATTTCGAACGTGAAGTCCCTATGAGTGATCACGATTGGCAACATCTTAAGCCATATCAATGTTTACTGGCAATGTTAATAACATGATGACAGTTGGGTTTAAGTCGCCCGCATGTCTGTTAGCCTAAATTAACAAAACTAATAATGTACAAATCAAATTGAATTGATGATTATCGTGTTAAATTGAATACAAATAAGAGAAAATGAGTAGCGTATAAATTAAAGCAGACAATTATTGGTTTTTTTTTTCTAGACTAGTTTCGATGAATGGCTACGGGATTTTATTTATTAAAATTTACTCCTAAATTCGACAGTCATATGTTGCAACCGTTGCATTATTCTCTTGCACATGAGACACCATTGCGAAACTCATTCCTGTGATTTGTTCTTGAAATCAACCGTGATTAGATTTTGTTTTCACAAGGTCTAACATTTTTTTTAACGGAGATGAAGGATGTGGCGGTAGCCATCACAGAACACAAGATAGTTGACAGATGCCTGAATCTCGCTTTAAGCCTATCCACACTGGTGACCCCGACTGTCACCAATTTGTAGAGATATACGACAAAGGGAAGATCTTCCACCGACCGGGTGATATTTGCTCGGTAGACCGACGGTCCGAATGTTCTTGTTCGGAACTTGTATATATGCGAGCTTATCATGAAAATATCGTAAGCGAGACTCAGGCATCTATCAAATATCTTGCGTTGTATGATGGCTACCCGCCACAAAGGATATATTTTGTTTCAACGTAGCCTTAATTAAATTTGCGGCCCAGTCAAAATTTCGAAGTGGTTAAAGAGCCGTGTCATATATGGCATAAATACATACCTAGTGCGGCATACGCTACAAAAAATGTACTGTAACTTCAGACGACTGACAAAAATTCAAAAGTACTGTTGGAAATATCAGAAGGTTCATCATTACTATATTTGAATCTGGAGGAAGAAGATGAGGAATCTGGTCGAATTGAAGAACAATAATTATTGTTAAACGCTACGAAAATTCTATTAAATCACTTAAAATGTATCATTGACATGTCATAACGATCTCATTCTCTGAATTCGAATTATTCTGTTGGTGTTTATTTTAAGAACCAGCTTTGTATTTTGATAATTAAAACAGTTTACGTTTTCGAGTATTGAGTCTTACTTGAACAAAGTCTATATATTCAAAATTTTCCCATACAATACGATCATTATTACTGTTTACTATCGAAAACCGCATTTTTATTACCTTTGTAGGCAGACGAGCATACGGCTCACCTGATGGTGAGTGGTTACCGTCGCCCATGGAATTCAGCAATGCCAGGGGCAGAGCCAAGCCGCTGCCTTAGCCGCCGTTTTTTAGGTATTTCCCTAGAACTACAGCTACTTCCTCATTTGACTGCTGACGGCTGACTATTAAGACACCATGTTTTCCAAAACAATTACGCTGCCAACAAAGGATAACTTCCGCGATGGGTATTATACCGCATACAAGAAAATCATGTCACAAGTCTGTACACCTCTTTACTTTTGCACATATTCACATTACAAATATTCTCTTTATTACTGAGGGTAGAACCTCTTGTGAGTCCGCGCGGGTAGGTACCACCACTCTGCTTATTTCTGCCGTGAAGCAGTAATGCGTTTCGGTTTGAAGGGTGGGGCAGCCGTTTTACTTGAGGCCTTAGAACTTATATCTCAAGGTGGGTGGCGCATTTACGTTGTATATATATGTCTATGGGCTTCAGTAACCACTTAACACCAGGTGGGCTGTGAACTCGTCCACCTATCTAAGCAATAAAAAAAATATCTTTAAATATCTAGAATTTCCGTCGCATTCATAACTTGACAGACATTAATGGCTCTGACAAATCGGGTGAGCTGTCAGCACATTCAACTTTCAACGCTAATAATTGAGCTTATCATCATATCATTATTGGCTCTGGAAGGTCAATACAACCATCAACATCAGCAGCATCTTACAAAGCTAGCATTAAGTGAGGCTTATCAATGAGCGACTACTTGGTTATGTCCCAGAATTTAAAGACCACAAAGGCAGCAACGAGGTAAGATACGCCGTTGACACTTCCAAAACATATGGTATATCTGAACGTAGTACATATTAAGAATGTGAAGTTCAATCACTACTCACCTCTAGCATTGGTCGCAGCGTCTGCTATCTTCTGAAACGCGTCCAGAAACGCAGCAATGGCGACTAACGCAGATCTGCGAAAATGATAATTAACATATAAGCCCCAAGGTCTTAAATAGTATACATTTAGGACACACAAATTACCAGTTGCCGCATTCTAGTTACAAAAACAAACGACTAAAGTTCCTTGTGAAGCACGAGGTCATAGTTTTAGAATGGCCAGTTAAGTCAGGACTGCTATACTGTAGAAGCATACTAATAACCATTCATTTTCCTCACTACAAATACGACATATTGCACAGATAGCACAGTTTTTTTTTATTTTTGCAAACATTAGCGACTTTTGTTTTGGATTAAGGCCACTTGCCGTTAGGGCCTGTGATAGATTCGATAGTTGATAAAGGCCAGTTGTGGGTATGGTTTGGGATTCGGACATAACAGGCCTGATCTATATTGGCCGCGGCCGATATGCGTAAATTGGATTCTTCTGTGGTTTCCTACCTAAGCTGGTAGCCTTGAGAGGCTATTTCAGCGTAACCTTAGCTATTAGGTGAGCTCACGGGGCTCAAACCGGAGTGAATGCTAACACTGACCCTAGCAAGAGCAGTGCTTCGCAGAATCTATCACCGGATCGGAAACGCGATCCACTGAAAAGATTCGGCGACTAAGGACTATGATAGAAGCGCGTTTGTTACAAGTATGCGATACGACTACTGTCTATTACCAGTAAACGCGTCCTATAAGTGATATGAATTCTAGACAGGTTTCAACGAAAGCAGCGGTAACTGCCAAGTTAATAGTTATTTCAAAAAGATTCATATTAGTTTTCAAATATAGCGCCTAGATGATACCGAATAGCAAATTGTTTATCATTAATTTCAATATTTACAATTGAAATGCTAGTATTGTACTCGTTAAAACTGTGACGTGAAATCTCATTTTATTTTCCCAAGTTTTTGGTATGCATATACCGATACCGATACCGTATATATTCGAGTGTGAATTTTATTTATTTATTTAACGGCAATATTTAAATAATATTCATAAAGATGGTTGTATTTATTTTTATTTATTTATTTATTTATGTACACACAGAAAACAAGACACAGTACAGAGTAATAGGAAAATTATGTACAAAGGCACTGCTTATTTCTTTGAGAAATCTCTTCCAGCAGACCTGCGAGAGGATAATGAGAATAATAATAAAAAGTGATAAGTGTGTGTAGAACAAATAACACATAACTAAAATAACAAATACAACATGAGAATNAGTACAGAGTAATAGGAAAATTATGTACAAAGGCACTGCTTATTTCTTTGAGAAATCTCTTCCAGCAGACCTGCGAGAGGATAATGAGAATAATAATAAAAAGTGATAAGTGTGTGTAGAACAAATAACACATAACTAAAATAACAAATACAACATGAGAATTATAGCACATACACATAGCAAATATTATAAGTAACACAAATTTATCTTGTACTTAGAAGACATAACAATAAAAAACCTTCGTCTTCGTCGTGTCTTAGAGTGGTCTAGAATAGCACAACCCTTTTTCTTCCCTTGCGTGTTATAATAGCGACTAAGGAATTACTAGTGGTAGGACCAGCAGTAATGCATTTCGGTTTGAAGGGTGGGGCCGTTGTAACTATACTTGAGACCTTAGGACTTATATCTCAAGGTGGGTGGCGCATTTACGTTGTAGGTGTCTATGGGCTCCAGTCACCACTTAACACCAGGTGAGCTGTGAGCTTGTCCACCCACCTAAGTAATAAAAAAGGCATAAAAGTAATTTTACTATTACTCTCTGATACTCACTTCAGTGCTGAATGTAGCTTCGTTGCTTTGGATATAAACTCCTCCCACATCGGAGTACTGTTCTGTAACAATAGAAAAATAACAATGATCTATCTATACTAATATTATAAAGAGGAAAGATTTGTTTGAATTGTATAGGCTCCGAAATTACTGAACCGATTTGAAAAAATTCTTTCACTGTTGGAAAGCTACGCTATCCCCGGGTGACATAGGCTATATTTATTATATATTCAAAAAAATTAGGGATCCTTACTGAAACTCCAATAATGTAGCCCAATGTGTAAAAAAATACCGAAAATTATTTACATCACGTGCGCTACTTCCCAAGCGAAGCCGGGGCGGGCCGCTAGTTTAAGATAAAAACGAACGAATAAAAAAGTTTCGAGTTTCGAGTTCTTTGGACATATCGCCAGAAAGAGAGGTGACAATCTGGAAAAGCCGCTGGTAACAGACAAGGTATGCGGAAGAAGGCCCAGAGGCAGAGTCCAATGCGCAAGTCGGACCATATACGCTCCACTCTCAACACTTCAGTCCACGTTGCTATCCACACAGCCGAGGATAGGCAGGAATGGCACAGAATAATCCAGGAGAAGGTGGTTAGAGGAGGCCACGACCTTCAGCATTGAGGATTATCGACGCAAGGACGAGGAGGAAAATAAAAACACATGGATTTATTTAAAAAAATAGAAAACCCGGTCAAACTACACCGCGACCACCACTAATATAAAACACAATGACTTCGCAGTCCCCGAGTGCCACACGTGTTTTTTTTAATTGCTTAGTTGAGTGGACGAGCTCACGGCCCACCTGGTGTTAAGTGGTTACCGGAGTCCATAGACATATTATTATACAACGTAAAGGCACTCTGAGATATGAGTCCTAAGGTTTTAGTTTTTACCTGCAGTATAACGACTGCCCCACCCTTCAAACCGAAACGCATTGCTGTTTCACACATCATCATCATCATCAGCCTATAGCAGCCCACTGCTGGACATAGGCCTCTCCAATTGTTCGCCACTGAGCACGATCCGCGGCTTCTCTCATCCAGTACCTGCCAGCCACGCTGCACTACGTTTTCCAGTTCGCGGTCTCCACTCAAGAACGCGTTTACCCCAACGGTTATCGGTTGTTTGGCTAAAATGGCCAGCCCATTGCCACTTCAGCTTACTAATCCGCTGTGCTATGTCTATAGCTTCACGCATTGTTTTGAAAATGAGCAAACAGATTTAGGTCACAAAATTCCGACCACATTCCATGCACACCGCGTTTCCTTTTGTTGAGCTCCGCTAAAAGCAACGTATAATTTCTCAATTGTCGATCATCGTGCGCTTATTTCGCTTCATTGCAAACGGCTACCGCGTAACGGATGCTAGCAATTTGTCAGATATTGTTCTTTGTAACAGGTGAACGGATAGTTTTAAAAATGGACGAGTCGAGCTTGAAACTAGATTCTTTATTTAGACTATAGTCTGTTTTGTTCTAAGATTCTTTATTTATACCACAGTCTACACAGAGCATCTAGTCCTAAGAATAATTATCTAATATTAGGCTTTTACTGACGAAATCGCCATTGAGTATACACAAAGTTGGTCATTTTTTTATAAATACTTTCTATTACTTCTATTAATTAAAATATGCACCCATGGTGTCAATTTTTCAATGTCCTACTGGAAGAAGTCAGATTTACAGGAGCCAATAAGCTCTTCAAAGGCATTTTGTACTGCTGGTCGGGAATTGAATTTTTTCCGTGCCCAGAAGTTGTCCAAGCTTTGGAAAAAGAACAATTCTGGTAATGGTACGAAGTAATATCTAGTGAGAACGAAGGATGCGCAAAACGCCAAATGTTGGACGTATTCAAGCCAATAAATAATGAGTCGTACGTTCGTTTGTAGTGTTTTGGCCTCTCAAGATATGTTCATTGTCCTCAACGAAGGGTTCGAGGAACAAATTAACCCATAGACACAGCCCACTGAGTTTCTCGCCAGATCTTTTAGTCGCCATTCCGATCCGGTTGTAGATTCTGCGAAGCACGGCTCTTGCTAGGTTTCATGTTAGCAACGTCGTCAGGTTTGAGCCTCGTGAGCTCACCTACTACTACTAGTTAAGGTTACGCTTAAATAGCCTCTCAAGGCTATCAGCTTTAGGGGAAAAAAAGCGACATTTTTATCGCATAGGAACTCACTCGTATTTCAATGTATGTACGTACGTATGTACTTTTATCGTATCCATATTGATGACAAAAAATTCAAATGTAGTGAAAACAAAACACTAATCAATAAACATATGACTGAATTTGAAAATAGATATCTCTATATTTAAAATAAATTTAATTTCAATTGCTAGTATTGTAAATCGGCTACCTGTTATTTTATTAAGGGAGATTCGTTAGCAATACAACTTTGAGACAAGACTTGATGATAGTAAATTAAACCTAGATCCGTGATTCATTATTCAACAAGCTATACTAATATATAAATCTACAGTGGTTTCTACGGATGTTCCGTTAGAACTACTGAACCATGCATCCGATTGACTTGAAACTTGGTATTCATGTAGAAAATACATGTACTTAATGGATAGGCTAATATTTAGATGAGTGTTGAACTCCCTAATAATAATGACAATAAATGATCATGTTAATTTTAAATGCCCAGCGAAGCGGGCCAGTGCGGCTGGTCATCTATAAAACGTCAAAGTCCCACAGATCAATCAAGCGACCCTCGAGACAGTACTCCGTACATAATACTCCAAAATCTCTTCTATGTATAGGACAACGCAACGCTTCAATCATCATTTCACAACTATAAAGATTCTCATAACGCAATCACGTCATATTCCCGACGACTGAGAAAGATCAAAAGCAAGGGGGCTATAAACAACTTTCAACATCGCCGACTTTTTAATATTACTGCATGCTCACTAATTAAAATTAATAACCGATGTTAAAAATAAAACATTTTGACATATTATGTCTATCATGACACTTGTCAAATCTAAATTCTAAAATTATCAAGATTTTTCAGTCAACTTCAATCTCACAATCGAAAAAGTTCGGGGAAAAAGATTGAGATAAAAAAGCTGTGAGATGTTATATGAAGTCTTAAAATAGCTACGGGAACGGGAAACGAATCAGACACAGGTGGTGGCAGTACCGAAACTGCTGGTAGTTCTTGCCACAACATTCGCCATCAAAGCGTGCTTATAAACACATTAGGATATGGCTCAAATAACAACGCCTACAAAAAAACAATATACTAAATTAGGTCTTACATTTGCGAGGCCTTACGTTTTGTTTTTATCACGCAAGGCCGTATTTGCGTCTAGCCCACTTAGGACTTCGCAGTCAGAGGATCTTACACTTATAATTGCCCCGGCATAGGGGTTGGTGACCTAATCACTCCTAGTTACTGTTATGATATTGCCTTAATTACCCTATTACACAATTGAGGCCCAAACCTTAATTTAACGGTAGTCACATCAGCTTAACATAGATTTCCTGTGATTTCGTTTTATTTACTGGTGGTAGGACCTCTTGTGAGTCCGCGTGGGTGGGTACTAACACCCTGCCTATTTCAGCCGTGAAGCAGTAATGCGTTTCAGTTTGAAGGGTGGGGCAGCCGTTGTAACTATACTTGAGACCTTAGAACTTATATATCAAGGTGGGTGGCGCATTTACGTTGTGGATGTCTATGGGCTCCAGTAACAACTTAACACCAGGTGGGCTGTGAGATCGACCACCCTTATAAGCAATAAAAAAAAAATTGTGTCGACGGACAGAAGAGCTCATCATGGCTATCTTGGTTCGAAGTTGGCAAGGGCCTCGTGAATCTCAAAAAAGCTATTCAAGGTTATGATTAGGAAGATGCCATCGGCAAACCCTCACTGGAACAACATCGTTTTAAAGGTGATAAATGATGATGAGATTATTCAATTGAGTGGCGTATTAAGTTTATCAGCACCGAACCAAATTACGTACAATGACAAAGCAAACAATTTTGGTCTTCATTAGAAGACATTATGAATGAAGGTACCAATTTTTCAATTTGGTCCGCATACTCTCGACTAATTCTGTTTATCGAATCTAACACGTTCACGTGTGAATGTCTGATGGCTAGCAATTGCCTGCAAATACAACATTTTCAAATAAAACACGTACTTAACACGCTTTCTACAAAGATAGACAGTATTAAAAAAATTTGGCTCTCTATAATTGCAAATATTGGTTTTATGACGTGTTGTGAGTGGCACGAACAGAAATTATCATGATTGGCTATCTCTGTCCCAAAACTTTGGTTGAAAGGTCGGAGACAACGTTAAATTATAAAAATGTGTATGATCTCTGGCAACCTCGTAAAAAAATAAGGTCTCAAGTATAGTTACAACGGCTGCTCCACCCTTCAAACCGAAACGCATTACTGCTTCACGGCAGAAATAGGCAGGGTGGTGGCACTTACCCGTGCGGACTCACAAGAGTTCCTACCACCACTAATTACGCAAATTAGAATTTTGCGGGTTTGATTTTTATTAGACAATGTTATTCCTTCAGCGTGGAAGTCAATCGTGAACATTTGTTGAGTACGTATTTCATTACAAAAATTGGTACCCGCCTGAGATTCGAACACCGGTGCATCGCTCAACACGAATGCACCGGACGTCTTATCCGTTAGGCCACGACGACTGCATGACCTGATTAATCAAAACGATTGCATGATTTCACTAATATTATACCCATTTCGTTATTAAGAACAGCGTCGTCAAACCCTGTATAATTATATCGCGTTACGGTCTTTTAATATCTTAAAATTTAATTAATTACCGAAAAATCCTCCTACCCTCAATATACCTAATGAACTCGAAATTGTCATCGGCACAAGGTATTGTTGAATTGAAAATGTTCCGATCAGCGTGGACGTCCACTCAAACAATTATCCCTCTCAACGCTTCCCGGGATCGTCCCAGCCGATGTATAATAGACTGCGGATGTATGCGACTGACTACACGGTCTATGGTACTGCCAAATTGTCATGTCCGAGCCCCGTGATAATGCCTCCGTGACATGTTG